AGGAATCTATAGGGATTTTATAGGGTTTTACTACTTAGTTAATACTTAAACTACTATTATTATTTTTATAGGATAATATAAATACGTTTATCCTTTAAAGTAATAACTAATAAAAAGATTAATACTTAATTATTTAGCGTTAACTTATTAGTATTAATATAGAAATAAGTAATTATCTTTTTAGTACCTCTTATATTTATTATTTAAAGCGGTACTAACTATACTTTATACTCCTTTACCTTACTATTACTAAGCCTTAATAACTTAAGGTATAATAGCGCTACTTATAATAATCCCTACTATTAAGTAAAGTATATATTTATAAGGTTAATAGTATTATAAGTATCTAGGTATATAAGGACTTTAATAGGGTTTCGCCTTAATATTATTATAGGAGTTTTAAGTAACTATCTTATAAGTATTAAGTTTATTAAAGGAAAGGCATTTACCTTAATATCTTACTTTTTCCTTATTTTATAGTATTAAGTCTAAGAGTCTTTAGTAGGGTTTCTACCTTTAAAGAATTAATATATTCTATAGATAGGTATCTTAGCTTATTATATTAGAAATATATAATTCCTAATTAAGTAAAAGATCCTCTTCTTTAATAATATCCCTTAGTTTAGCCCTTAATAGGTATATCGCTAGCTTACTAGTTATTAGTTAAATTAGTAGTATTTCTTTAATAATTTAGCCTAGCTTATTAGCCTCTTTAATTCCTTCCCTTATATATACCGCCTTAGGGTATAGTACTACTTTTATTCTTAGTTCCTTTAAGGGTAAAAGTAGTATTAGTATATCGCCTCTTATTAGTAGTAGTATCCTAATATCGTTAGGCGACTTATATAAGCTCTTCCTATTAATAGGTATAAATAAGTATTAAATAGAGGTTAATTTAGTCTCGAAGTTATAGCTCTAGCTTAGCGAAAAATATAAGAGCACGCGCCTTTTTTAATAGGCGTTTAAAATACCTCTTTAAGGAGTTAAGGTATAAGCTAAACTTTAAGAGGGACTAGCTTTCTCGTTAATAAGCCTCCTTTAATTACGTTAATAATAGTATCTCTTTATTTATAGTATCTTTAATTAAAATAAGTATCTATTTCTTAAAGTATACTTAATCTATACTATATTTAGTTTAGTTAATCAGCGTTTATTCTTTAAGGTATCGGCGCTATCTTACTTTATAGTTACTATATATATAATCTACCGCGTAAAGGATCTTTATTTTATCGTAATAAAAGCATCTAAGCGCTACTTTAAAGGCGTCCTTTAAATCGTAAGTCTAGTCTAGACGTTTTTATATATTAGTAGGTTAAGATAATTAAGCGATATTTTTAATCTTAACCTTACTACTATAACTACCGTTTAATTTAAGGGAGTAGGACTATCGACGCTTTCCTAAATAAATAACGATAGCGCTAGTACGTTTAGTAATTTCCTCCTTTAATTATATAACGCGGTCTTATAAGCGTTTCGTCTCCTTTAGCTCCTTAATACGCGCTTATAAGGCTATAAGCTTTTCTTTATAAGTCGATAGTCTTATGCCTATAAGTAGCGATATCTTTAATATAGTTAGAATATTATCTATAATAAGGGTCTATTTTAAAGATATATCTTTTAGTTCTTTATCTCTTAAGTAAATACTTAATATATATAATAAAGAGGCCTTAACTAGTTAACTACTATATTACGCTATAAGAGCGTTATATAGTCTTCTTTAAATAGCTATCTTTATTAAGTAACTAAAAAGTAAAGCTTTAGAAATTATAAGGGAATATATATTATAGTATAATTAGTTAGGTAGTTAAGATAGCTAAAAGTACTATGCTATATATATTATATTCTCCTTATTATAAGACTAAAGCTTATAAGAAGAGGGATTTTTCCTTTTTAATTAAAGTAGTAAGAGGTCTATAATATATAAGTAAGGTAAGTACGATTCCTTACTAATACCCTACTAATATATTAATACTATATACCTAAGTACTTTATTAGCCTATACCTCTTAATAGCGCTCTTATACTAACCTTCTTTTTATCTTAGTATATACGCCCCTTTACTACTTAAAGTATATTTACCTATACTTCTTAGTATAAGTATTTTAAAAACTAATAGGATTTACTATTATAGCTTATATAGCGACCCTCTTATTACTATCTCTTCTTATCTTTAGTCTTTAAGGTTATAAGAGTCTTTAACTATTATAGGTTATAGGCTTAGGCTATAGCTTAAGCTATATAAATATATATAAAAGGCCGGATCCTATATATATATAAGCGGGCTAGCTATATATAAAAGAGCTCTATATAGCTTATTAATATTATCTTATAGATAGTACCTATATATACGCCTTTACTTACTTTATAATAGTATAAGCTATTAATTAATAGATCTAATAAACGTCTCCTTAGAAAAGGTACCGCTTCTTTAAAAGAGTACCCTACTACCCCTTAAGCGGATAAGAAGTATTATAGCTATCCTAAAAGCGATTAAAAGCGCGATAGCTAGCGAGAAGATTAAGGTTCTCGCTATACTAAGGGAGCTATCTATAAGACTAGCGTTAACCCCTACGACCTCTATAACGCCGGCTATAATAGCGGTACTATTAATACGAAAGCCGCTCCCTTAGCTAACTTAGGATAGTAAGCCTAAGTCCTTTTACTTCTTTCTTAGCTAGCTATAGATAAAGTTTATAATAGATAAGAAATAGGGCTTAAATAGCTATCGCGATATAGTATAGTATTTACTCTTTTATATATTACTAGAGCCCTAAAGATAGCGGATCTTTAGATTCTAAGATAAAGGCGGCCTTAAGAGTAAATATAACTTATAGAACTTCTTTTAATACCTTATATATACGTTTAGTAATATATAAGAGCGGGAGAAGGCGTAGGATAGGCTATAGACCCTTAGGTAAAAGAATAAGTAGACCTTTAACGAATTCCTCTTTAACTTTAAAGAGATACTTTTATAAGTAATAGGAACTATAATATAAAAAGATAGCGTAAAGCTTATATAGTTATAGAACTTAATTATACTAGCCTTATAAGAGCTACTTATCCTTATAATTATACCTACTAACTATAGTAAGTATATAAGCTAGATAATAAAGGTAGTATAGGGCTATAAGTAAACGCTATATTTTTAAAAGCTTTATAGGTATACGCTATATAGCGGTAATAGGATTACTACCCTTTTATAAGAAGACTAGCTAACTATTAATATTAATAGAGATACCTTAATATTAGCTACCTATATATATTAAATTAAGTAATATAGGAAGTTACTATTAAATATCTTTTATACTATCTTATACTCTAAGTAATAGGTAAAGTAAGTAATAAGTAAGGAAATCGAGAAGAAGAAAGTAAACGGCCGCTACTTATATTATAGTATATCTATATACTTTATATTAAAGTACCGGTAGCTGCCGCGTCTCTTAGTGCCGCTATAGGTAGGAAGATAACTACTACTACGGGTAGGAAGGTTGCTACTACCGGCACGGGTAGGGAGATAACTACTGCTATAGGTAGGAAGGTTGCTGCTGCCGGCACGGGTAGGAAGGTTGCGAAGACGATGTATCTAAAGATATATAAATAGCTGGTTCTTTATTAGGAAGAGGATTCTATATTCTCGGTAGGTTCTTCGGAGCTAGTCTTCTTAGTATATCTTATAGAGCCTTTGCTGCTCTTCTCGGCTAAGGAGGGAGAAGTCTATTATAAGGGGGGTCGGCCTCGTCGATCTAATAAGCGATAGTTATACTTAGTGCCTTAGTTACTGCTTTTATAGCTTAGTGCCTCTCTTAGCTTAGTGCCTAGCTGCTAGTACTCTTCTAGATTAGCTACCGGTAAAGATAGCTTAGTATGCTTATAGCTGCTTTTAAGATCGAGAGATAATAATAGAATTACTACTATTTATTATATAATAGCTAGGTAGGGCGGATAGGTCGGCCTAGGTAGGGGGCTCGAGGTAGAAGAAAGAGAGATATAAAGGGAGACGGCACGAGATATAAGGGAAAACGTAGCTAAAGAGTAACTATAGTTAGATAAAAAGGGAGAAAAGAAGAGAATATCTCCTTCTCTTAGCTAGACGATCTATATAAGGGAAAGATATTACGTAATATATTATATAATTTCTATCCTATAATAAGTTCCGTCTTAAAGGGGTCGAAGTAGACCCCTTAGTCCTTAGCTTATTCGAATAGGTTAGTAGCTATAGCTTCTAGCTACTAGACGTTCTTCTTAGCTAAGGTCGATATTATAGGGACACTAAAGTTATCTATATAGGATAGCTAGTACCCCTTAGCCGCTAGTATCCCCCTTATATATAAAGAGAATAAAATAGGGCTAATAAGGGACCCTTAAGGCACCCCTATTACTAGGTCTATAAGGGGCTAAACTTGCCCCTAAACTAGTATCGTTTCGTTAAGCCTTGCCATCTCTTATAACCTACTTAGCCGGCGTTATAATCCTTTAGCAGGCTTTAATATATCTATGCCTCTCGTTAAAAATATAGAGTACCCTTTAAGCTCGTTTAGTATTTAAGAGAGCCTATAGTAGTTCCTCTTATTATAGGCTACTATAAGGAGTTACTAGACTATATCCTAGGGAATATATAAGTATATATATCTATTATTAGCTTAGTAGTATAAGAGGTTATCTTATATAAAAGCCGACCAAACGACCAGGTCGCAATTCATCTCTACAAACACTCATCATCACTCAAGCTTGTACTCGCCAGACTCGCAAGATGCATACGTCAGAAACAGAAGACCTTGGTATTTGTAGCATAGCAAACAGGTATACTCGCACCCCAATGCCGCAACCCCCCCATCAAAGGGGTTGGAATATACTTGCACACTTCCTTCTGATGACAGCCCCTTCTTGGGCTGCGTGCCTGGGAAGATTGAGTGTATAAATCACAAATGAAATCACACGAGAAAGTGCCTCGGGTGCTTGTAAGCGACAGAGCAAAGGCCGGGAATGCATCAGACAGCATCTCTAGGTGTTGCGGGGTCGGCCACGACGGGGCTTGGGCTGCTCGGCGGCAGGTTCCTTGGACCTGGCCCCTCGCTTGCCCTTGGCTGCTGGAGCAGGTTCCTCCTCCGAGTCGACGCTCTCATCCTCTTCCGTGGAGGACTTGGCCACTACCCTGGAAGACCTGCGGGTTTTCTTGGGCGTGTCATTGGCAGCATCGTCCGCTTTGCCACGGGCCTTGGCCGACTCTTTGCCCTTAGAAGCCCCGGTGGCCTTGGCCGAAGGCTTGCGGGCCTTCTTCGCCGGAGCCTCCTCCTCCTCGGTGGCCGCGGCATCGGATTCATCCTTGGCAACTGGCTTCTTAGCAGTTGATTTGCCTCGGCCTGCGGCAGGAGTGGCCGCCTTGGTGGGCTTCGCAGCCTTGGAAGGCTTGGCCTTTTTGACGGCGGGTTGCCCGTCCTCGTCGTCGTCGATATCTCCCTTCTTGAGGCCGCGCTTGGTAGCCTTTTTCTTGGGCGCTTCCTCCTCCTCGGGAACATCCTGCAAGCTGTGAGCATCAAGTTGACTTGCCTTGCGATGGGACGGGAGAAACGTACCTCTGCAGCCGCCGCCTTCTCCTTGGCAGCCCTCTGCTTTGCGGTCATGCGGATACCCTTTTCGCCAGGCACATTCTTTTCCGGATCCTGTGAGTTGCTCGGTCAGACGACAAAGATGCTACGGCTGGACGGGCAAAGCAGGACGACAACGTACTCCCATAAAGTCCTCGGGGTCAATGTGACCCTGACGGACGCAACGACGGATCTTTTCCTGGATGTCGGCGTGGTCACTCGGGAATCGGTCAGCCGGGCTTCATTAAAGGATCGAGCATGGTGACGCCTTACTTGAGCTCATCAAAACCGTCAATGGCATCAAAGTTGAGAGTTCCGTCGCCTTGATCGCAGGCCTCTTGCAAATGCATTACCTGGGCACCAGAAATACAGCCCCTGAGAGGAACTGATCAGACGGGAACGGGGATTGGACTGAGTAGCAGTGGTCTGGATGGGGCGCTTTACCAGTGCTTCCAGCTCCAGCTGCCATGGTCATGGATCTCGACCCAGGAGCCGAAACGGATCTCGCCCTTGAGGATCTTGGTCTGGTTTTCCTTGCAAACGGTGTCCTTGCAACCGGCCCGGTTGTTGGGCGAGATTTCTGGGAGACATTCGGTTAGCAACACTGCGTGGACGTCGCGAGGACAGCAGGTTCGCGTTGACGCGGCTTCTGAAGCGCAGGGGCATGCGAGGAGGTGAGGCAACGTCAGACTTACCAATGCGATATTGAGGCATGATGAACGACAGGCTCCTTGCCTCTTGAAAGACCCGTCTGCTCGCCCCCACGAGGGATGAGCCGGGTTAGCGACGACGAGGTGGCGAGCAAGGTCGCTACGACGTCGCGAAACGCGTGCGCTTGGGGGGACCGGTTAGGGAAAAAGAAGACCGATGGAGCAGAACAGAAGACGGCGAGACGCCGAAAAGATATGACGAGTGGTCGCGCTCCTTTGACAGTGGAACGCGAGGTTGACCGCAGATTCGAGCTGTAGACGAAGGAGAACAAAAGGATGGGACAAAGAGGAGGGACGAGGTTGCTGAAGAATTGAATGGACGGAAAAGGGCTGACACTTGGCAGCCGTCAGGCAACCGCCCCAAGTGGTATTTTTCTTGGTGCGGGACCGACCGCGGCACACTCATCCAGTGCCGGCCGGCCCTGTCAGCGCGTCGTCGGGGGCGTCGCGTCCCCGCATCTATAGACGGCACACCACTGTATCTACAGTGCTTTCCCCGCTGTGTCTTCCCCCCTGCCAGCCCACCACCACCACCTCACCATAGCCGCTGGCTGCAGTGCAGGGCCCAATAAGAGACGGTACAGTTTTGTACGACAACGCATCGAGGTAAAAGTTAGACGCCGAAAGAAATCAGCGTTGATGGATCCCACCCCCTCCGAGCGTGCATGCAAGACCGTTGCAGCCCTGGGTCTTGCGCCTCCAAGACGTTGAAATAGGTAGCCACGAAGCGCCAGAGGCCATCTGTCTCATGCTCCAAACACCAACTACAGAAAACGCGATTCTCTCTCAATTCGCCCCTTGCAAGGCTTCGTATGTCGTTCGTTTCTTTCCCAAACTCCAACACCATCCTCCACACGGTCACCAGAAGCATACGTCACAGAAACGGGCACCATCCAATATACATGGCCGTCAGGTTCCGCGGATCGACCGCTTGCTTGATCAGCTCCTCCACCTGACCCTCCACGCTCAGCGGAATGCTCTCGTTGGGCAGCAGGCCCTTGACCTTTCTCTTGATGCTGTCCACGACGCTTTGCGGCTGCAGCTTCACCCCGGAGTCCCCGCGTCTCGAGCTGCGCTTCTCCTTTTGCAAGTCTAGCGTCGGGTCGTAGATAAAAGCCTCGAGGATTGTCATCAGCGTCTCCTCCTGCTGTCTGAGAATGCTCAATGTGAGCTCCGAAGACTTCCGAAAAGGCCCCTCGTAGCCGTAGATGCCCATGGCCGCCACCATGTTGTGCGTGAGCCGAAACGGCACCCGCTCTGGCTTCAGAAACGTGAGGCCCTTGTCGAATAGACAGTTGAAGTCGACGTGAAACACCCCGCCGTTGCCTTCCTCGAGGTTGACGTTCTCGCCGTGCCGATCGCCCAGCCCAAGCATCGTGCCCACCATGGACATGACGGCGCACGACCGCGTGTATCTCAGCCGCGCACTCAGCCAGGATGACGGGCTTGGAAACTGTTGGATGAACCACACCGGCAGCACCGGTGGGAAACGCCCCAAAACGTCTTCAGTAAAGAGGCGGATCTTGCTCTCAGACGTCGACGCCTCGTCCATCAGCGTCCTGAGCGCGGGATAGTCTGGCTGAATCTTGCGCGACGCGTACAGATTTAGGAGAATGTCTCGCATTGTCCTGATCCCTGGAACCCACTCGATGATGCCGCACTCCTCGTTCAGCGGAACCACGGCATAGGTACGAATGTACAGCTGTCTGCGACTCGACTCGGCATCGCGCTTCAACGACCGGTTGATAATCCCGTTGAACTCCATGAGACGTTGATCAGTGCGAAGGTCATCCTTGGGCTTGATCAGGAGCATGTAGCTCTTGCCATCGCTCCCTCGAGCCGTCAGCCGTCTCGGTTTGGCAAGAGAGCTCAGCACCAGCACGTCGTCCAAGAAGCAGTCAATCGTCACGACGTCTCGGGAGAATGCCTTGTGCCTCTTCACATGCTCCGACACGGCCGGCAGCGTCGCCATCAGCGAGCTCTCCACAGGCACGGCCAGCGGACAAGGGGTGCACTTGTGTTGAAAGCGCAGGTCTCGCGAGAGGCTGGCGTGCACCGATTTGTTGCCGGGGAACTCGCCGTTGTGACACGCGAGCAGGAGCTGCTCTGACAGTTTTTCCCCGGCTCGGAGAAGCTGCTTCAGGTCAAAGGCCGTGCCATCCACTTTCCTGGATACGCTCCTCAGTGCCTGCAAAATCTGTGTTCCGCGGGCTTTTCGTTCAGACATTTGCCTCGACGTCATGATTCCAATGAGACTCCACAGGGCTTGCCGGGGGTGTGCCTCGACCACTTTCACAATAATGTGCGTCAGGCGATCAAAAACGTTCGAATTGGGATGAGCGATGCGAGCCACAATCTGTGGCAGGGCGGTGTAGAAGATGTACGCCGGGAGACGGTGGATGTACTTGTCCAAGAAGGCATGCAGGAGATTGAGCTGCTCGATTCGCCGCCGGTGAAGCTCCCGGGATAATGACACCTTCCCTTCTGGCGGCTTGTCGACCTGCGCGCCGAGGTCCAGCCACAGAGTCAGGATCCTCGGCAGCGTCTGGTACAGGTACTTGGTCCCAGAGTTCAATGACCTGACGTAGTTCTCGATGACGAGCCTGGCAATCTCGCCTGTGACATAGTTGTCGCTCTGATCGTCAGCCTTGAGTGGCTGCTCTGATTCTAGTATCTTCTTGTAGTGTCGTCCGAGGTAGTAGTGGCCCTTCTCCCATGTCGAGTAAGTCTTGGGCGGCTGCTGGTACTTTTCTCGCAGAGCCCCAGCATGCGATTGTCCCGCGGCGTCGAGCCATTTGGCGAGCAGGAGCTGGGCCCTAGCGACCACTAGCTTCTGCTGCGCGTTCAACTTCGTCGGCCCGGTGCTCACAGACGACCCTGTCTGGGTCATGAACTTGTTCCGTTCGATGGCGCCTTGAAGCATTTGAATGGCTTTTCGGTGATGATTGTCTCTCCAGAGAAGCTTTGCGTTCTCAATAGTCGCTGCGTCGTCCCCGAGTCGTGAGGCGTGGAGAACTGCATTGAAGGACTGGTGCAGGGAATCGGTCTTTCGAGCCAGTCGAGCGCTCGCGAGCCAAAGAGAGGAGATGTCTGTATCGGCAAAGCTTGGCCTAGTTGCATTAGCCTCCAGCTCCACACTCAGTCGAGATTCGGGAGGAACTCACCTTGTCAGCTCCATGGCAGCTCGTCTAATGCCGAGGAGATATTGTTTGTCGTGGTAGTAGGCCCCGATGAGCTCAAAACGACCGCCCAGGAGTGCCATGGTCTTCCTGCGCTCCTCCTCTTCTCCAGTCTCGGAGCCGACAATGATCTCCAAGTCCGTCAGGGCATGGCACTTGAGGAGAAGCTCATGGGCAGCTTGCAAGGAACTGGTGGCTGAGGAAGTCATCTCCGACGCAATTTTCTCCCTGATGCTTCGGATTGTCCTCGAAAAGGACTCGGGCGTGCACTTCTTATACAGCGAGTCAAACAAGGCCGCTACCGAGATGTTGAAGTCTTGAACGACATCCCCATGAAACCGGCTTGTGAACTTGGCCAGGCTCTCCCATCGGCCAGTGACCCACGCAGCTTCTACGGCAAATGGCATCATCTTGATGTGAGTCGAGATTTCCGTTCGTATACCTTCGACATGGTTAAGCAGCGCATCTGTCGTTCGTTAGAAACCAACATGGCCGGACAGGAGTGTGGCACCCACCATGCTGCCCGGCTTGCTTCAGACAATGCAACAGTTCTAGGTGCACGTCTACGTTGTCTGGCTTCTCGGCCAGCTGAATCTCGTACCACGTCTGTGCTGCTGTCCATCGTCCGGCTTTCTTGTGGCTCAAAATTTGCTGGTTAATGTCTAGAGCGTGCATGTGAGATGAAATGCCTTCCAGCCCATCCGGTTCGTCGATGTTGGCGTAAATATCTTGCAGCTGCTCAAGTAAACGAGTTCGGTCGCCCGGTTCATTCTTGCTTTGCTCAAGCTTCTGGGCGTGCTGTTCCAAGTGGAAAAGAGCTCGCGCGTATTCGTTGCAGTCTACGGCCCGCTGGGATATCAGCTCGGCGGGAATCTCGTCTAGAATTTTCTGTATTCGAGACACGCTCTCCTTCTCGGTAGCCGTCAAGCGACCCGCGGATCGCTTGGCCTGGATCCATCTCATTGCATAGTCGAGCACCCGGAAAACAGCCTTCAACATCAGTTAGCATCGACCACCGTACGGGCAGTACTGAGACTTACGTGGCAGTATTTTTTCATTTCCTCCTTCTCTACATAGGAGGCGCTCGCTGCCGGGCGATGACTGAGAACACCCATCAGTTCGCCCACCACATGGTTTCTTTCTTGCTGTGTGCTCCGGGGGCCGAGCAGAACGTGTAGCACCAGATACGGGAGCAGGAACTCTGCGGTGGACAGATCCTTGACACGGATGACGCGAGTCAGAGGCTCAAAAATCGTGTCGGCCTGTTCGTTTTGCCCGTGCTGGAGCAGGTCCACGATGAAAGGTCGGAGCCAGTTGACGTATGGTTTTCCTGGGTGGAAGACGGGATACTCCACCGTCACCGGTGCCATCGGGGCCACCACATATCGTGAAGTCAGAAACGGTGTGACCACATCCCGCACGGTCTCTGGCAACGCAATCCATTTTCTGTAGATGTCGTTGCCACCCAGCATGCCGGTGTTCTGCATGGCACAAGCAGCTCTGATGTCACACCGGACGAGGATTTCCTGGATCGCAAACGAGAGAAATCCTTGGAGCTTGGTGTCGGTCGCAGATAGAAAAGACGGGACAAGAACCTCTTGTAGAAGGAACAGTCCAAAATCAGTTGTTTCTCCGACTCCCTCAAAATTGCTCAGGGCGACAATCGACCGCTGCTCTCGGACGGTTTCGATACGGTTCGAGTCGAGGCAGCCGATGAGCCCGATGCACTCGACACAAAGTCGCGCTATGTCCAATTGGACTCCGTTGTACTTGCATGCACAATCCAGGAGAGCCCTCAGAATGTAGGTGATGGCACTGTCCGGGCGCTGGCTCACGGCAGATGTATAGAGGGCGCTTTGGTTGTCTCGAAGATAGGGTGCGAGCTCGGTCAACGCTTGGTGGACGACGCCCGAGTTGTCGTGAGCAACTCGCTCCGAAAAGACATGCAGAGCTTCGTCTGTGGCCAACGCGGGCCGCATCGCCGACAACCTAGACTCAACATCGGCAAGCCCGGCGATGTGTGAAAGCGAAGGGAGTTTGCTGATGTATGTCATGACCATTGCCTCGTGCTTCCCCAAGAGAAAGTTGAGCATTTCTGTTGCGGCACGGGCAGTGGAGGCGTTGAAAGCAGCCCAGTAACGGTTGATGATGAAGAATGTCGCTTCGATGAGCGCCTCGACATCCTCCTCCTCAAGATTGGTGAGCATTGCAACCCAGCATGAGAAGCTCGCCTCGCGCAAAGCATCCTGGGAAATGGCGGAAAGCAGACATGCTGATATCTAGAAAACGGTCAGCTGCGGCACCGGCCAGTCCCATGCTTCGTCGTACCTGAGGCCTGGCAACCCTTGCGTAACTCTTGCTGTACTTGATCATCTCCTCCAATGTACGGATGCAGCTCCGCTGTTCGAGGATTGGCGGGTGTATTGACACAGAATCATTAATCACGTCAGTCAGTCGTGCCATGAGCCCTAGCACGTGAGACTGAAGAAACTGCCCGATCACGTTGCTCTTTCTGAGCTTTGCATCTTTGTTGGCGCTCAGGAGTGTCGTCGCCACCAGATGTAGGGCTTTATGGATCTGCTGTATGTGAGAGCACATCTTGCGCGGATTCACTGACCAAACTCACCACTTGCTGTCGTACCGCATCGGCGCTCGTCGCCGCCTTCAAAAGCTCCAGAGCGGTCAACACCGGTTCCGACTGAAAGAGATCCAGGAGTGTAAGCCGGTGAAAGTGAGGAGACACTGCGTCCAGATGGGATTTGGTAAAGTTGGCCATGTTGTCTGCGTCTTGCACCAGCAGCAGTGCCAAAATGGTCGCCAGATTCGGGCCGTCCGTCAACGCATGCCAGGGTTCTTTTTCCTGACGGGCCTCGGCTATCTTCTGAATGACATCTTGCCGATTCTCGAGCACCAGCCACGGAAGTGCGTGCGATTGTATAAGCAGGAGAAGCTCATTCACGGTGATTTGAAGCAGTTCAGCAATTGCCCGGCTTCGCTGAGGACGGTGAACCATGTCTTTGGTGACCATGTATGCCAGATTCTTCCAAAACGGCTCAAAGAGGCGCCTGGGAGACCTGGAACGAGACTCTGCAAGATTGAGAAGCTCGTTGAATGCAAATGCCGAGACAATGCTGTTGTTGCTGCCTAGGTACTCAAGGAGCTTGATCAGAACCAGGTTGAGCTCGTCCTCGGTCACCACTCGACCCAGCTGTCCCCAAGCCAAGATTCGGGTCTCAATAAGATGCGGTTGATCGTTTTCCGAGGTTTCCTTGAGAACGGTGATGGAATATTTGCGGTTTCGGTAGAGCAAGTCCTGGTCCAGGCCGCGGATCGGTCGTTGCGGCATGAATGTAGCTAGTGTTCTTCCGGCCGCGACGCGAAGTTCTCGTACGGAGCTGTTGATGAGTGACTGGAGGCACCAGCGCCCAGGGGTCAATACTGCAACGTCTGCGGGTTCTGACTTGTCGAGATCCAGGAAGCCACGGTCTTCGCAGTGATGCACTAATCTCCTCAGCGCCATCATGGCAGTCACCCTCGGACGCCTGGACTCAAGAAACTTGGGTAGATTGACGAGTTTTGAGAAGATCAGTCGAGCCTCGCTTTTCGCCGCGTGAGAGGCTACTGGTCCGTTGATGCCGTCCACTCCATCGCAGATCGCACATCGTGTCTCTACTGCGGGGGTAGCAGACTCTGGCGTGGAAATGAGGCCGTCTGCGACACAGCAGATTCTGGACAGTAACTCGATGGAAAGACATTGGCTTCCCTCGGGGCTCTTTTCAAAGCCAACCCTAAGAAATGATTAGTGCTGATACTGTGGTTCTTGCAACCGTGAGGGCTTACAGAAATAATTGCTCAAACGCTACGACATCCTTGTCGCCTGACGGCTCAACTTGCAGTGTTTCGAATATAGCTTGCGTCAACAAAGGGAGCGTATCAACCTCTTCACCCGAGGTTTTTCTCCTTTTCGTGCCCGCCGTGGCATGAACCGGCTGTTCACGAGCAAGATTCAGGCCCTCGACGCATTCACGGATCTCATTGTGTTGAAACCTGGACGGGTGGATGCTCTCGTCCGGAGCACTTCCAGCCGGCGCATATATCGCTTGTCGAAGCAATCTCGTACATCTCTATTTATTGTGAGCAGCGAAACGAAAGGTTTGGAGACAAATTTGCCTTACCCAAACGTCAGTGTCTTCTCCGATTGACGGGTACTGCGTCGACAGCAATGCCAGCTCTTGAGCAAGCTTTGATGAGGCCAACCTCCCAATGGCGTACGACCGCATTGATGCTTCTGAGATAGTAAGAAGGGCCTTGCAAAAGGTCACTCGTGATTGCTCGCCAGTTGGGTCTGGCTCCACCAAGGCACCAGGGCACGAGATCATCTCGCTGCAGAGGAGAACAAGTAGGGCGTTTGCTTTGCTCTTGAGTGATGACGGCAGGTCAGCATCGACCGTGGAGCATTTGGCAACATTCAATGCTGTTTCCATAACAGCTACGGGGGAGCCCTCCACGCTCGCATCCCATCTCTTTTGCACATGTCTCAGATCCAGCCAAGAGTCCATCATCAGCGGTCCATTTTGCGACAGCGACGAGGTGCAAGAAAACAAAGAGTCTTGAGATATAAAAGGATAAGCAAGCACCCTTGCCAGGCCCAAAGCCTGCCGAATGGCTTGGGAGGCGGAAACAATGGCATATAAGGATCGTTGAGTGTTCTGCGGTCGAGTATCTCCTAAAACTTGATCAAGCGCAAACGTTGGCGGGAGTTGAAGGCTGATGGGGGCCTTTGCATTCGACAGCACGAGCGACGGATCTTGGAGGTGGTCCAACAGGCCTGTACGTAGATTGGATGATCAGCAGTAGCCTAGAAGCAATTCGTAAAACTTACCCGTAAGGCATGCTCGCAGGTAAAGACTCAACGAAGCTCTCAGCCCCCAGAGAGCATTTGTGCGGAAAACAACCAGCAGGATGTATTGCAAGAGACTCTCGATCGGCCCCTCGAGTTCGGTACATTTGTCATGGCCGAGGATCCGGAGGAGATGTGGGAGCAGCCAGGTCCACAGCGGCTCCTGTCCTCTGTGCAGAAAATCTCGGCCATGATCCACGGACGCGAGCACAACCGGTGTTTCTTTGACCGAGAACCTCAAGAACTTGACGGCTTTGAGCAGCTCCGAGTGCACGTGTGACCGGTCAATGAATGGATCGTCCAGCTTGATTCCTTCGAGAGCAACGCGGCAGTATACGTAAATGAGCATGTGGTTATGCTCGACTCGTTCGCGGTGCGAATTTAAAAGACCGGGGTTGTCCTTAACACGTTGTATGATGGCGAAGAGTCTCTTGAGTTCGCTACTCTCGTCCGATCGGGAGGATTTGGTCGAGGTGGAGATGTTCTCGACCAGTTGCGCGGCTAGGGTTGACGGCGGCACACCGTCCGCTGGGTCGCCCGCCATCCCGGCGAGGCCAGGCGTTGCTGCCTTGCCGCGCAAGCTCTCAGCCATTGTCCTTTCGGCATCGTTGGCTGCCGTCGGAGACATAAGATGGAGGCTAAGAACAACTACAACGTCTGACGCGAGATGGCAAGCTAAAGAGGTGAGGGGGCAAGACGCGAAGTCACGTGACAAGTCCCATTAAACAGCACACCACCACGGTCAACTGCTGCTAACAGCCCGCCTCGCTCTAGGACCTGGTTGTCGGTACAGGCCTTGTGCAATTCATTCTGTTGCCAGACTCAATCCTTTGCTTTATAACCACACTGAGAAGCGGAATGCCCAGAAACGACCGCAGTCCCGAACAGCTGTGGCTAATCCTCATACCTCACGGTGATGGCATCGTGTGTCACCCCTGCGCTGCAGTCAGATGACGAGCTAGCCGGCGTGGCGAAGCAGCTTGGTTCGACCTACCTCCCAGCTTGACCGTGTACGTTATCATGGCTGACCCATAGCTAGCCTCGATGACGCCGCTCAAGCAGTAATAGCGGTGCCAGCCCATCCTCGTCTTCCCGGCGGCCAGTTTTGCCGTCTTTGGGATCTTCTCTAAGTCGAGGGACAAGGTTGCCACGCATCGTGTATTGGCATCGACGTGGACCGGCGGCGTCTTGTCCTCGTCGTTGCTGAAAATCTCAATCTCCGTCTGAGGCACATGGCCCGTGCCCACTGGGATGTCGCATTGGTACTCGATGATGGACGGCTTGCCTTCCGGGTAGGACTGGCCCTGCAGGAGGGAGGTCAGTATCTTCGCCACTTGGCACGTGTCGATGCTGGCTGACCTTTTGGATGAACCAGCACATTTCCGTGGTGACCATCTCTCCCTCCTTTTCGGACCAGAAGCTACAATCAAGCCGTTAGCCTGTCGTCGAGTCCCGTCTCTCGAGCCACCGTCACTTACGCTTCCTTTGGATCGTGTGTCATCATGTCATACTTTGCGAGCAAGCACGTGCCGTACGATCTCCTCGCAACTCGAGATGAGACCTCCACCTCGGCCAGCATTGGCTGGTACTGACCTAGCCCGTAGATGGCGGCGCCCTTGACGACGGCGATCCAGCCATTTTCAGGCTGGAGGACCTTGATGCCGGCTGGTACGGCGTCTCGAACCTGGGACCGAAGATATCGACTCTGTCCGAAGCCTCCAACGAGGACCACCGCCGCGATGTCGTTGCCTGCCATGGCTATCTGCTCTCGGACGAGGCAGACGACGTCCTTCATGATGGGGTCAAAGATGCGACCGGTCATCTCTTCTTGCGGTATTGTGAATCGATTGCGCTTCAGTCCAAGGCTTTCATCGACCCGTATCGTGAGTGGCTCGCCCTTTGGAGAAAAGTCTTTTTTGAACTGTACTCATGTCAATGGCGTCCTCGAAGCAGATTTGTCTCATCCACGGCCTTGACGTACCGATTCGAACTCGTTCAGTGCAATGACCAACGGCTCATCCACCCAGTACTTGTCCCCGTGCGTTTGCTTCAAGTATCGCCGGAATCGCTTGTTGAGCATCGAAGAACCGCACTTACCGCCCGTGCCCGCGGTCACTTCCTTGACCTCCAGCTTGTCGACTCTGGTCACTTCATACGTGATGAGGTCTACGGTCCCACCACCGGCGTCGCAGACGACAAACTTTCGGCCGGGCTGCAGGATCGACGGGCTGAGATGCTTGAGGGTGTAGAGTGCCGCCGCTTCCTGGGCAGAGTCAACACAGTTTTCGCACCCATGGGGACAAGACGCGCACCGGTTCTGATATGAGCTGAATCCTCTGGTTCCCGCAGAAGCCTGCCATGGCAGCGGCTCTCTCGGTTGCCTGCTTTGCAGCATTGGACCATATGGCAGGCACCGTGACGACAAAGTCCATGGGCGTCGAGTGTACCACGCTGGGCGACAGGCGCTTCTCCAAAACGCCGATGAAGTGTGTGTGGAGACATGACAAGAAGATTTTGGTGAGTTCCTGAGGCGACTCACTGTCTTTGCTTGTTCTCCCCGGCTCGTCTAGCTTCCTGTGTCATTGTTTAACATCCAGCTCATCAAGACCGGCGGATCCCCTGCGCTAACAGTTTAAAGAATCGATATCGCTTAGCGATCTCGGGGATCTGGAAGCCCCATTGCCAGCCCGACGCCACTTTGCGCAACTCGGTCGGGACCTTGGGACTGCTCTTGAAAGAGTTGACTGATGGCCAGTTTGAAATCACATGCTGCACGTCGGGCTACGCCACTTTAGCTCGACGGATCACGCCGCTGCTGCATCGGCAAGAGAGACTTACCCGGCTGGTCTCGGCCCAAGCGACGCCTGAGTAGGTCGTCCCAAAGTCTATGGAGACGATGATTCTCCTGTCGCTCATTCTCGCGGGTAGAATGGCTTGGGATGTGGCCTCTGCTGCAGTGCTTGGGGTGACGACACCAAATCTGGCTCGAGGGCATTCGGAATTAGCAGGCGTCCGCCCAATCTGGTGGCCCAGTCAGGCACGAGCATTCTCGAGAATAAGCCTCCCAGCCGTGGACCGTTGATCGACGTCACTAGCCCGGATTATTCTACTGGTGCAGCCTTCGGGATACAAGGCAAAGATCACGGATCCGACTCGGGTACCCAACGTGGCTCAACCCTGACCTGTCGGGCCCCGCCAGCCAACACACGAGCACGCGTATTTGGCTGCCCAGAGCCGGTGCGCATCGGTCACTCGAACCCTGCGTCTTTTTCGTGACGCTGTGGGACTTGACAAAGCCATACTGTCGTATCAGAATCCTGGGCGCCTAGCCTGCATATTGCAACCCAATTGGCACGCATGCAGGCGAAGCCCAATGCGGTTGCAGCGGTCTCTCAGGCACAACACCACTGGTCCGGCGGTGCGTCAAGTCGGGACGCGTCCCTCAACGCCCAGCTGCCTAATCAATATGGCGGTCAAATGAGACCCCGAAACAGAGGCTAGGGTGACAGGCGGCCTCGACGGGGACATGTGACTCGACGTTTCTCGCGCCAGCGAAGCCTGGTTGGACGCCTCGCCGGGGTCCATGGCTTGGCGGCCGTCCAATAGCCTCTCTCTGAGCGCGATCATCTGACGTTGCTTTGTTGTGTGTCTTTGGCTTGTCGTTTGCCGTCGTCGCGAGGTTGTCGAACGCGAAAGTGTATGAAGAAGCGAGTATCATACCCCGATACAGAAGCAGAAGGTCTTGTATTTATCATGGAGCCCGGGACCGAGATCCAGCCACCGAGCCAAGAGGAACAGGTCGTGAAAGACCTAATGACACAGGACTACTCTCAGGCCGACAGGACAGCATCGCAGAGGCCGGTGCTCGAGAGCAAACTGGCAGACGAACTGCGGCTGCGTCGCTTCACCGAGGACGTGCTGGACGCGCGACAGGAAGAACTTGAGCATCAAGAGGCGGAGAACAAGAAGCTATCAAAGAAGATGGACTCGCTGCAGAAAGAGCTCGCAGAGGCCCAACGGGAGCTCATCGAGGCGCGCAACCAGACCAAGGCCAAGGCGAAGCAGCTACAGGACGCCAAGGACCACATATTCCATCTCCAGCCGAGACGCAAGGACATTACCGAGTCGGAGGCGCAGGAGGCCTACAAGAAGCTCTGCGGAAACGTGCAGCGATGGGTCGAGAACCGGCTGCAGCCCGTCCTGGACGAGTTGGAGTCGGGGCGCCTGAGGGGACGGCCGGTGGGCGCGCCCGCGGCACGGTTCGCTGCGCTTATCCGGGAGCCAGCCAGGCGCTGCCTGGGCGCACATCAATCCGACGAGCACCATGTCATTGCCGTCATCATGTACTACATCTGGCTGGCCTTGTTTGCCAAGCCCTTTTACTGTCCGTTGGACGGCTCCGACGACGATGCCACCATCACGTGGATCGACGAGCTGGAGACCACAATGTCAAAGTTGCCACGGGGTAAGCGAGCCGTGTTGGGCTTCCAATTCAGTACGTGCAAGAGAGCAAGAGACTAATTCCTCCCCGCCTGCAAGATGCCGCCCACTGCCGCGAGTGGAGGAGCGAGACGCTCTCAGCATTGACGAGCCAGCCGCTGTTCAAGTCCCGGCGAGCGGCGTACATTGGTCTCGTATCCGAAGATCTCGCCTCTCTCCTGTCCATTGTGGTACCCAGGGCGTCGCACGGCGACCTGCAAAGCTCCGTTCGCAGAACCATAGTCGAGCCGGCGGCCGACTTTGCACACAAGCTGCAGCTGGCGTCGAGCATTTTTTCTCTCAAGTGGCCGGCTCGCAACGCCAGCTCGAGGCTCGAGGTGTACGAATGCATCAACCTGGCGAGTGGCGGTCTCGTGCTCGACCTCGGCAGCAGCACATCGGCGCGGCAGAAAGTCACGTATCTTTTCGACGTGGCCCCGGGGCTCTTTGTCGAGAGGGTCGATGTGGGCAAGAAGGCGCCGTTGAAAGCTATCTACAGGCCCAACGTCCTGGTCTACGTCGGGGATGGAGAGGTTCCTCAGAGGCCAACGCTCATGAGATGGCTGTGCGACAACACAAACGGATCCGCCCGCGATCCGCTACCGAGGACCGCCATGCCAAGGAGTAAGACCCTTTCCTCCATCCGCTCCTCCAAGCTCTGATGTCGTCACCTAGGGTCCATGGGGCAGCTGCCAACGGGGAGACGGAGGTGACGGCGCGGGTGTCTCGCCTCTGTCCTTGGAGAGCGGATTGCGAGGTCGGTCGAGAGGCTCGAGGAGGTGATTGCGGCTCGTTTGTTCCGAGCGCAGCAGCAACCACACAACTCACAGAACGTCGAGTAGACTAATGGATCATGGTCCCCCTAATGACACGGAGAAGAAAGAAGCACGGCCTCAGATGGATGACCTCCATTCCCAATCGGCTATGTATTCCTCGACGGTGATGACGGGAGCGTCGTAGTATCTGCGTGCGGCCCTGGACCGAAGTGGAGTGAGCGGTCGTGTCGCCAAAGCCGCCTGAGCCCGACCCCCTACGTTCTCGCTGCTGGTGTTACGCGGCATGCGTACCAGAGCTCGATGGGGATTCTGTTGGTCAGGACGGTTCGTGACTTGACCTTTCCGGGCTGGAGATGGCTCACCAGTCCTGGAAGGGGTGCTCCGCTTGACGCCGCGAGTTGCCGACTTGGGCCTGGTCGCCTCTCCCGACGAGTGATCCTGGTTGGGGGTGTTGGGGGAGGCCTCGGGGATAAAGGGGCGGATACACTTGCGGATATAGTCGTCTTCGATGCCGAGAGCCCTCGCGTCGACGATGCCGAGGTTGAGGCGATTGACGTACTCATCCTTGGGGGCGCTGTCCTCGACGTGGTTGAGGCTGATGTACACGAGCACGTCGTTTTCCCAGTGCTGACGAGGCGGGCCCGAGGTGGCCGGGCCTGATGCCTTGTTGATGCGGCGGCATACGGCAGCGGGGCCGCCCTTATCGACGATCCAGGAGACGGGCCGGCGGTAGAGGGAACCCTGGGCACGGTGGAGAAGGACGGGCATATAACGCTTCTGGTAGGCGTTTTTGGAGACGCCCTCGTTGATGTCGAGCTTGGCCTCGTCCTTGTCGTCGATTTCATAGACGAGGCCGTCGACGCGATGACCATCGGCCTCGACAATGTTTGCGTAGCCGCGCTCGTTGATCTGCCAGCGGTGGTTGGACAGTCTGGCGCGGCCGATGTAGCGGCTGTTGGGGCAGCGCTTCTTCATCTGCTTGATGTGAAGGTTGCTGCCGTAGGCAAAGTAGTACTTTGTTGGCCGGGGGTCGCCGGCGTGTGGTTTCCTGGCGGCCGAGGGCCCGTTGGGAGCGGTGGTGGTGGCGGCCATCTCGAGGACACGGCCGAGACAAGCGCCGAACATCCGCGTGCGCGTCAAGGGTATGGGCTTCAGGGGTTCAAGGAAGGAGGGGGGGGGAGAGTGTGAGGAGACAGGGGTGGACAGGAGGAGAGACGGGAAGGCTTGCTTGATGCCGCAACGTGGGCGCTTTCAGTCCGGACTGGCGGGTGATTTGTTGAAAAAGGGGGGGAAGAGATGGGGAGTCGTCGAAAAGAGGCTTGCTTGAAAGAAGAACAGCTACTGCGAATCAGCCGCTGGACAAGGACAATGGCGTCTCGGCGGAAGAGGGAGAGGATGACGAGGAGAAAGAGCGAGAGCAGGCCAGAGTTTGGGCGAGGACCGAATCTGCGGAGCTGCCCGGACATTGTCTTTGGGCAGCAAGGCATCGAGAGCGAGTTGCGCGATTCGCAGAGGGTCTCCCTTTGCCGCCAATTGCACATCTCCACGTCCCGGCGTGCCGAGAGTCGTTTGCTCCTCCCTCTCACTGCGAAGGCGAGCGAGTAGAGTGGCCTTGCTCGGCTGGATGGAACACGAAGCCTCCGTCATGAGCGATGACTGCCTCTGGGATCATACGGATGGATGGGCGGGTGGGTGTGGCGGCCCAAGCAGGGGGGGTCAGAGGCCTTCTTGCTGGGGATTCGTACGGGTGACACAGCCGAGGGAGCACGCGATGCTCGGTACAGCCTCCCGAGGGCAACGTGGGCTTGAGGATGAGGCTGAACTGGAAGCTGGTGGCCGATGGTTGATCCTCCACCCCCCCAACGGGCTTCGCCGCGCCATCCGTGGACCCTCTTCTTCATCAGCCGTCAGTCTTATGCAGTACAGCCAGTAGTCGGGCGTATATGTAGATGTGCCACGACAGGGGTTGGAGAGGTTGGGGGGTACTGTAGTAAGAGAGGCGGGCGACGGGCCAACGCAGCAGAAAGGCACGGACTGGAAGACAGGCAGGGCTGTCGTCGCGACTGGCACATGGGGCCCGATAGTCTGGAGGGCAGCCGACCAGCGCACGCCGCGCCGTGGATGCCCATTATCGTGCGCCAGCCAGCGCCGTCGCCGCTATCAGAGTCGCTCCCAGCCTGGCCTGCGTGTTTTTTTTTCCTTTTGCCCTTTCTTCGATTGGCCTTTCTGCTTCGGATCTTTGGGAGGCGAGGGCGCGGGGGACGCTTATTGTGCATCAAGTGTGCAGAGAACTCGACGGCCTCTCGTGGTTCAGTGTGCGCCTCAACACCAACACGTCGCCTTGAATATCACCGCCATCGCCGCCTCCCGCGACGCACGCAACGTATCTCCTTCACACTTTCTTTGTTGAGACGCAAGTTCGCTGCATGGTGCTGTGCACACTTGCGGGCAAAGTCAAAAGTCATCCCCCCCCCCCCTTTGTCCTCTTCCTTTCACAGCCCCTGATACCTCCTTTACTCCCTCTCCTCTTCTCCATTCCCCAGACCTCGTCCTCGACCCCCCTCCCCCCCCTTCTCGACACCCGCTTCCGTCTCTCTCCAAGCGTCCCCGACCATGGTCCGGCACTACAACTTCGGCATTGAGATCGAGGCCGTGGCCAAGCCGTACGGCAGCGGCGAGAGCTTCTCCAACGTCGACTGGTACCGGCAGCTGGCGCAGAAGCTGCAGAACCGCGGCGTGCCCGCCGTCCACGACGACTGCCTGCGCTACAGCAAGCACCCGGAGTACTACGGCGGCAAGTGGTTCGTCACGCGCGACGGCTCGCTCAAGCGGCCGGCGCCCTTCGTGTGCATGGAGGTGGTCTCGCCGCGCCTCGACACCAAGCAGCCCGTCAGCCGCACCGTCTCCGACTTCTGGGAGGCCATGCGCGTCCACTTCAACCCGCAGCGCGACCTCTCGTGCGGCGGCCACGTCCACGTCACCCCCGTCAGCCGCCGCAACAAGTTCTCGCTGCGCTCCCTCAAGGCCATTGCCTTTGCCACCGTCGTCTACGAGGACTTTGTCTCGGCCGTCCTGTCGCCGCCGCGCCGCGAGAACCAGTACTGCAAGTTCAACAGCCTGAGCCCGGACTCGGGCCTGCGCGAGGCCCTGGCCTGGGGCAAGTCCACCGCCTCCCTGCGCCAGGTCGCCGCCGACATCCGCTCGCGCCCCAACGAGATGGAGCTCTACTTCTACATGCAGGGCAACCGCTACGTCCTGTGGAACTTCCAAAACATCTTTCCCAACCCCAAGACGGGCCGCTGCACGGGCACCGTCGAGTTCCGCGGCGGGAACCAGTTCCTCAACACCAGGGGCACCCTGGCCTGGGTCGCCTTTGTCCTGGGCTTCATCACGCTGGCTCTGAAAGAGGTGAGTCCCCCGGGGCCGTGAGCAGGGCTCACGAGTGGGAAAGGAGGAAAGCTGTTTGCTCACATGCCATGTTCCAGGACCTGGTTGAGACCTTCAAGGCCTACGTCTCCCCGGCAGAGCCAAACTTCCCGCACCGCTTGGCCGAGTGGTGGGTTCGCATTCGGCGCGCAGCCAAGAAGTCCAAGATGAGCCGTCATCTGCCAGAGGAGTACTCCAAAATGAAGACGCGGTAATGGGCGGTCTGGGGTTTCTCTTATTTGGTGCTGGCTATGACCGCTCCGGGCTGGGGCCGGAGCGAGGATTTGCTATCTCCGTGTGTTGGGAACCTCCGCCGTCGTGAATCGATGGATTGTACCAGGAGCTGGCGCCGCAAGAAGGGGATTTACTTCAGGGGACGGAGCCGGGTTGTTCTGAATCTGCACACAGTGCGTTTAGGACTCTTCTGAAGATGATGTATGGGATGCCACCATCAAACCATTTCATGGTTGATATCGCCGAGTTTCCCCCTGAACAGTTACAGTACAGCATATCAAAGTGAACAACCGCAGAAACAGCAAAAACTACCCAATGTATTGCACCACGTCATCTATGTCATGTAACTCACCTCTCGCAAACAGCCTATGGCCGTCTTGCCCCCAAACGCCAGTCGCTCAGGGTCCGCTCACGCCTCACCCCCCTGGCTCGCGTCTTCCTCGAACAAGACGAGCGCCGTTCCGGCCTTGCAAATATCCTGAGAAACAGCTGTCAGCAAATGCTTCTTTCTGTGCACGCGCGCGCCAGAGAGACTTACGCCCTCCTTGTGGGTCAGCTTCTTGATCACGCCGTCCTGCGGCGAGCGAATGACCGTCTCCATCTTCATGGACTCGATGCTGCGTCACGCGTTGCGTCAGCTAGCCATTCTCTTCGCTTAGATTCTTCTTCGCCACGGTCTGACATGAGACGAAGAGCGGGGAAAGGCATCCTACACGACCAGGGGCTCGCCTCTCTTGACCTGCTGGCCCGCCTCGACCTCGTTCCGCAGCACCTTGCAGGGCATGGGCGCCACCACCGAGGCCGTCGCCTCCTTGAGCCCCAGCGCTTTCTCGTACCACGACGGCGGCACCAGCGCCAGGTCCGTCTTGACCCCGTGCTGGAAAATGGCCACCTTGGTCTCGTCGCCGCTGGTCTGCGGCACGACCGACGACAGGATGCGCTCCGAGGGAAAGTACGTCTGCACCTGGACCACGGCGCCCGAGGGGTTCTGGGGCTCGCTGACGACGTTGGAAAAGACGCGCGGCGACGACGGGGCGTCTTTTCGTGTGACGGTGATGGTGTACAGGCTGCGGCCCGTCTGGGTGACGCTGGCCTCGACCACCTCGCCCTCGAGCTCGCTGTAGCCGTCGAGCACCTTGAAGGCCAACTTGCGCTCGCTGGTCGCGCCCGCGTCGCCGAAACCGAGTGTCTCGCCGTGGGGAGGGCTGCTGGACTTGAGCTCGCGATTCATGACGCCGAGCGCCGCCTGGGCAAAGACCTCGTCGCTGATGCGCCTGGGCCTAAACAGCTCGTCCCTCCACTTGTCGATGAAGCCCGTCTCGACATCGCCGTCGACAAAGGCCTGCGTCTGGCAGAGCCGCTTGAGGAACTCGACGTTTGTGCTGACGCCGACAATCTCAAAGGCGCGCAGGGCCGACTCGAGCTTGGCAATGGCTCGCTCGCGCGTGTCGCCCCGGACAATGAGTTTGGCAATCATGCCATCGTAGGCCTCGGATACGGTGCTGCCCGACCCAAAGCCCCAGTCCAGCCGCACGTCCTCGTCGGCCTGCACCGACGCGGGCAGCACGGCGTGCACGAGCTTGCCCGAGTCCGGCATGAAGCCCTTTTCCGGGTTCTCGGCGTAGATGCGCGCCTCGATGGCTGCGCCGCGCCGGCTCATCTGCTCCTCCACCTCGGCCTGGCCCAGCGGCAGCCTCTCGCCGGCCGCCACGCGAAACTGCCACTCGACCAGGTCCAGACCCGTCACCATCTCCGTCACGGGGTGCTCGACCTGCAGCCGCGTGTTCATCTCCATAAAGTAGAACCTGCCGCTGTCCTTGTCCAGGATGAATTCGACGGTGCCGGCGCCGACGTAGCCCACGGCCGAGGCCGCCTTGCGCGCCTTGTCCCAGAGGTCCTGCCTCGTGGCCTCGTCGAGCTCGGGGGCGGGCGACTCCTCGAGGATCTTTTGGTGTCTCCTCTGCACGCTGCAGTCTCTCTCGCCGAGCGCGACCGTGTTGCCGTGCTTGTCGGCAAAGATTTGCACCTCGACATGCCGCGGCCGCACAATGTACTTTTCCACCAGCATCACCTCTCCGCCCTCGCCAAAGGACGCCCTGGCCTCGGCCCTGGCGCTCTTGAGCTGCGTCGCGAACTCGTCTTCCGTCATGACGATCCTCATGCCCTTGCCGCCGCCGCCGCGGACGCTCTTGAGCAGCACGGGAAAGGTAACGTCCTTGGCGTGCTGCAGCAGCTCGTGCTCGCCCTGCTCGGAGCCGTGGTATCCAGGCACGCAGGGGACGTTTGCCGCCGTCATAATTTCCTTGCTGCGCGCCTTGTTGCCCATGTCGGCCATGGCGGTGGCTGGCGGGCCGACAAAGACGATGCCCTCCTTCTCGCAACGCTCCGCAAACTGCGCATTCTCGGACAGGAAGCCGTACCCGGGATGCAGCGCCTGAATTTTGTGCTTCTTGGCCAGGGCGATGATCTTGTCGCCGTCGAGGTAGCCGTTGGCCGGGCCGAGGCCGAGCGACTGGTACCCCGACGAGGCGTGCCAGGAACCCGCGTCGACATCCGTGTAGACGGTCGTCGTGCGGATGCCCATGCGCTCGGCCGTGCGATTGATGCGAATCGCGATCTCGCCGCGGTTGGCGATGAGGACGGAGCCGAGGGCCGTCAGCTTCGGGGCTGACGAGGTCGTCGAGGCGTAGCGAGGGAGGGGCCTCAAGCGGAGGCGACTGGCCCTGAGGGAACGCATTACGGCTTCCGATGGGCGCTTGTCTCACGCGATGGCAGAGTTACGGGGCCTCAATCCGGATCGCGCGTGAGTTGTGCATTCGATAGCAGAGCTCAAGAGACAGGGGAGGGAGGGAGCAGAAGCCGAGGAGCAAGGTCGACGACAAAGTAATTAGACCGCCCCCGTAGGAAGCCGAGTGTAGCCGCCAAAGCTCGCGTGACATAGCCCGACGTCACGGCTCCAGGTTAGTAAGCGGCAGACCACTGCCCCACGTCGTTGCCCGAGGGGACTAGACTCGAATTGCCCATGACTGCATGATCCAGGATCAACGAGCCTAGACTCTCCGACCTAGCCCTCCAGCGTCACGACCATGGACAAGATCCCGCTCAACTACGAAGCCTCAGAAGGCGACACCCACAAGCAGCTGACCGACGCGCTGCCCCCCGAGGTGGTCCAATGCCTCGAGAATGCCCAATTCGTACGTTGATGTTCCCCCTCAGTTCACGCCCCGCCAAGGCGAGCAAGCGACTAACAACGAGGCCGCTTCGCCGTGATAGCTCCATCTTGCGACGTGCGCCGACAACGTGCCTCACGTCTCCCTCATGAACTACACATACCTCCCGTCCTCGCCCTACTCGTCCCGCCCCGTCATCGTCATGACCACCAACCCGGCCTCTCGAAAGACGACCAACATCATCGCGAACCCCAACGTCTCCCTGCTCGTCCACGACTGTAAGTCGAACCACCCAAACATAGATGGGAATCATCCCAACCCTTCGGACCCATTTTGATGCTAATGTCGAAAACGTAGGGGTCTCCCACCGCCCGCCGACCCACACCCGCCGACCCTCCGGAGGTTCTCCCGGCCCCGAGCACCGATCCAGCCTCGCCTCCCTCCTCCTGAACCTCAACACATCTGCCATGTCCAGCATCAGCGCCACCATTGGAGGTGTCGCGAGACTGGCCCCGCCTAGCTCCGAGGAGGGGAAGTTCCTCATCGAGAAGCATCTGGAGAATAACACCTTCGAGGACACCGAGCCCCTAGCCCGCCAGCAAATCAACGCAGGGGGCAACGGCGGCACAACGGGCCACTTTGTGACCGGGGAGGAGGTGGGCGTCATCGTCGTGGACATCAAGGACGTGAGAATCAGCGATTGGAAGGGAACGGTGAGGGACTGGGCCCTGATTTCCGATTCAAACCTGGCCAATGGCACGGGCTAATGAGGCGACTGGTTTGGTGTCGAGAGGTCAAAGGGGACTCATGTGTGTTTACGATATACCCTTGTGGCTCGAGTCTTCTCACGAGGCCAAGAAGCCCGCATGCCCAACGCAAGAACACTTGTATGCCGTTTGTCACGCAACCGCAGTGTCCTATTATACAAGCTGAATGACTCTCCACAACCAAACCTTAAACGCCTTGCTCTCCGTAAATGCTAGCCCAGTGCATCGAGCTCGTCCAAGGTTACTGTGGCCTGGGCGTGCCACAACCCCAGTCGACCGTGCAAGTGCCTGGGACGGTATGACCATCTCTCCCAGTCCAAGCGTCGCCCAGAAATCGGAAGCGAGGAAGCAGTATCAATCACCAACCTGGTATCAACAGATTTACAAGCATCCGCGCTTATGACGCCGCTGCCCACTCCACAACTTCGAGAGCCATCATGACCAGCACCAGCGTGGATGGAAGGATCCTAAATCAGTGTTAGCGATCTGCAGAAAACAAGAGTAAGAGGTTGCGGCGTACCATATCACATAGCTCTGGAACAGTATGCGGCCCATCGTCTTTTCGTACACGGCGTTGATCTGGCAAATCTGGGCCAGTTGCAGGGCGCTCGGGGCGCCAGTGAGGAGGAAGCAGACAATTATGAAAATTGGGTCGTCGAGGATGCTGACCGGCAGATACTTTGCCGTGAGAGCCAAGATGGGTGCCATGATGACAGTCGGCAAGACCATGCGACTCAGCAGCGACGCGATGAGAAGCTTTGTTCCGATTTGTTCTTCTTCGGGGTCGTGGTCGTCATCGCGGGCCATCGTGTTCCGCGCCAGGTTGGCTCCCAGGACAACCAGGATCAAGGGAACCGCGACTCCTCCGCTCGATTTGACGGCGTTGGTGACACTGTTGTTGACAAAGGAGCCCTCTTCGAAAAAGCGGCGCTGCAGTGCGGGGATGGATGCAACCGTGACGGCAATCAGCATCGCCCACAGCGGCGGGTTCATGAACTCCCAAATGAAGTTGTGCGTCTTTTTGATGGCCGTTGCCAGGAACGACAGGGTCAACTGAAGGGGGCGAGGCAGGCCTTGGTAGCGGCGACTGACAGAGCGACCGGCTTGGGCCTGCCAGGAGTGAACCTTGTTGGTGACAGACAGTCTGAACCGAGCCCAATTGCCGTTTGCCTCGGCATCATGCGGCCCACCGCCGTTCCCACCAACTCGAGGGAAAACGCCAGTGTCGAGCCTATTGCCGTTGAGGGGAGGCTGATTGGCCTGGGACACGGTTTTCTGAGAAGACGACTTCTTGGGAAAGAACTCATCGTCGTCGCTCGAGTCGGTCGTGGAAGTTCTCGAGGTCCCAGCGACCGGGGTCGGTCCCCCGGGCACGTATGTGCGCGAGTCAACACTATGACTATCGACCTCGTCTTCGGTCTCTCCATCGAGGCCGTCGATAAGGCCTTGTGTTTCCTGGTCATTGTGATCCTCCTGATGCCGAGATTGGCCCTCCTCTGCGAGCTGTTCTCGGTATTCGGGGTACTTGTCCTTGGAGGCCAGCAGTACATGGTATCCCCAACTCCAGCGAACAAGCTGGCCAAGCTGCTGGAAAATGAGGAGGTACAAAATGCCTCGAGCACCGACCTCGTCGTCGTTGTCACCCGGGATCCTGTCCCAGTGGAGCCCCTTGATGGTCTGCGAGAGGGACAAAACGAGGGAGATTGGCAACGAGTTGGAGTTGCCAAAGACGCCCATGGCGGTAACGAAGTTGGAGGCACGTCTGTTGAATTGGAAGGCCTTGGCGACCAACGTGGATACGACCCACGAGACCAGGGTCTGGACGACGAAGATGGCGGGTATAATGGCAAGATCGGAAAGCTTATCGGCGTTGAGCTGGGATGCCAGCTTGGTGAAGACTGGGAAAACAAAGTCAGAGAATGGACTGTTGAGAGGTGACGCGATGCATCAAGGGCGGCGACAGGCATACTAAGGCATGGGGTGAAGAGCATGACATTAAGGTTGGCCAGGAACTTTTGCTTGTCGGCATCGAAATGGCCCAGGCGAGCGATGATGTAGCCCGGCAGACTGACGCAGACGACCTCGAGGACGGCCTCGAAGACGAGGAGACAGAGGTGGGGGAGCGACGGATGACCCTGCCCCGGGGTCTGGAAGACCCTCATCGGGTAGTCGTAGGCATTCTGGGCGAGGTTCGCCAGGCGAAAAGACGTCGGGCCCGTAGGATCCATCAATAAGCGCGCCGCAGACGTGACCGGGGGAGGAAGAGACGGCCGTGAAAGGCTGGGACGGGGGACGACGAGATGCGAGCAGTCGACGGGCGGCAGAGGGACAAAGCGATGGCGGTTGCGGGAGGTAGGGCGGCCTTTTATGATGCCTGGTCGGATCGGAAGGGGCCAAAAGTACTATCTTCGGGGGATAACCTTAAAAAACCAAAGTCGCACGGCAGCAAGGGGAGGTGTGGTGTGTATGTGTTTGTGTGGCGTTGGGAGTGGCGCCGAGCGCGAACGGACGGGCTTGAATGGTTCAATGCGTCGTCAGCTGCAGCACGCAAGCGAAGACAATGCCAAGGCTTCGTGGGATGGGCGAGTAGGAGAGAAGAAAAAGACCTTATCTCAGGAGTGATCTGCAGTGCACAGGGCGACGGGCGACGACTTTGCTCTGGCCGGTCGTACAAAAGCCAGCGTCGCATTCAAGTGAGTCGCTGCCGCGCCAGCATGATGTATGTACTGTACGGTACGTGGGCTACCTAGGTAGCAGCGCCCAGGTGTATCAATAGCCTGTTTTGTTCGTTGCCGCGACGGATACGTAGAATGACGGGAGGAGAGGGAGCCAACAGGGGGTGGTTTTTGCGACAGACGAGCCCTTGCTTGTTGAAGTCATCCTTGGAGAGCGTGCGCAAGGAGCCGCAGTGGGCCTGACGGGGTTGTCCAGGGCACAAGGGGTACAAGAAGCCACGCCCAGGAGCTAAGGACGCCCGCAAGATTGACCGGCTGCACTATCCCCCCGAGCTAAGCCTCGTGTATCCAGACCTGCCGATTGGTGCCTTAGCCGCAGGGGCCTAGAGGTTGCGAGCTGAAGACCTAGTACCCGATTAGTGCTTTGAATGCCGGACCCTCTAGGGAAGATTTGAGTGGGGTGGCTTGGAAAGCCGCTGTTTGGGCTCAGCGACGATTGGGGATGACAACTCCCGCAAGCTTCGCACGATATTATTCAAAAAAAGCAAAGCAAGGCAAAAAAGGCAAAAAAGGCAAAAAAGAAAAGGCAAAGCAAGGCAGAGCAAGGCAGAGCAAGGCAAACAAAGTCGCATCTCCAGGTGTCGTGATGGGCCGAGTTGTGGAAATGACCGGTCAGGTAAAGGCAGACAATACATTGTGTGGTAGCAGTCAGTACTCATCTCCATTGGTAACCCCGCCCATGGTAAAAAACTCGGTGCCGAGACGGTTTGCGTGATACAGAACTGACATTTCCAAAACACCGAGCACCGACTGTGCCGCAACCTGTCCCGCCAAGCCCCCAGGTGTCACTCCTGTACAGATTTATCAATCTAATAAATCTATACCCCCTGCTGGACTTTGCAAACCGCTCCACCACGTCGCGCATTTGAGACCCTCCTTGACCCTTGGCCCTGTGCTCTCCCCCGGAAGAGGCCAAGGACGATCAGACACGTTCCTGCGAAACAGGCCGTCGAGAAGAATCCTCAGTACGCTGACCGCATGCCAAGGGAGTCGTCCCCGCGTTCATGGCGTCACCCGTGTTTGAGAGGTCGTATCATCTGAATGGGCGAGCTCTGCGCAACGTGAGACGCGGGGAAACAGTCTCCAAAAAAACCGACTCAGCATTGCGGTGCAGCAGGAAACCTTAACCACAGCGACGCGGCACCAAAGCGTTTGACTATGTCGCCTGATGCTCGGAAGAAAAGACGACAAAAAAACAAGGCTTCCAAGAAAGACTTGTGACGGGTGCATGACGTCGTCGCCGTGCTCGACGGTCATCGACGGAGCGAGTGCCAATCGATGATTGGGTCACAGGATAATTATTGCTTCCCCCACTAGGCCCAATGTACCTAAGGTACGTAGATTTCCAATGTTGATGCCTGCAGAAAGATTGCGAGCTCTCGCTACGGCGGCAATGACCTTTGGTCGCGCAACCTCGCCGCCCTGCCCATTTGGGTGAGCTTACCCGCCAATACTTTATGTATACTGTACACCTGCAAACTTCCAATGTTCGTCTAACTTACAACGGACACTGACTGATGAGGTCGTGCAGCTGCCAGTCGACACCCTCCCCTCCAATGAATCAATCGGGGGCAGTGCCACCACTGAGCTTTCCAATATTTCTTAGCTGAAACGTCATCCAGAGGCGAATCGCGTCACCCCGCCTTGTGTGTCCGGACTGTGAGCTACCTGCGTGCGCGTTTCGAGGGCTGTACTATACAGTGCCTCGTTCGACTGCCTTGCTTTTGCCAGGGCTCGCATGTGCACATCATCCATGTTCCAATGGCCAGGCAACACCGTCGAGCGTTTGCTTCGGCGCATGTGCTCCGGCACCCATGCGCCTCGGTGGCTTGCGCCTGTGGCTGCAGCTCCTCGCCACCTGGACCCGAGGCCGGCCTTTTTTTTTTTCGTGCCTTCTTGTCTTCTCCCCTCTGCTCGTCGACCCCGGCCGACTTCGACCGCCGTGCATCTCCACCATCACTCGCTCCGCCCACGCTCCGCCTCATCGCCGCCCATCTGCCGCCATCGGAAGCTTGCCAGCAGTGCATGCATGCGGTGCTGAAACTGGCAGCCCCGATCCGAATATCGTGATTTGACCACGGGCGAGAAAAGCACGTCTTCCCTGGAAGCACTTCACTCTGCCAACATTTCCACTTGCGGCGGGCCAATCGTCAATACCCACCCCACGAGTCCAGACCAACTAGCTAGCCGCCTTGCTTGGCTAGTAGGTACTCTCCCGCATCAACGCTACCGCCGATCCATGGCATCCGCCCCCGCTGACAATTTCACCAGGTCTGGTCCGCCACCATTGTGCGTCCTCTTTCGGTGACGTCTTCGTTGCAAGGCCATCGCTCGCCCACCCGTTACTGCTTGCAGGACGACAGCGGTAGGGGAGCGGGAGAAAAAAAAACCGTCCCCAATCATCAAGCCTGCAACTCCTTCACTTTTGCCCACCCAAGCCGGCTTACCGGGCGGCGCATTCGACACCCCTCGACCCCCGCCGAAATCTTCATCCGCGAGACGATCGATACCCGCACATCGCATGGTCCTGGAGGCACCGCCGTATCTGAGGATCCGGGCCCTCTCTCCGGCCTGAACAATAGCGCCTTTGCAGCAACCTCTGTCGTCTGCCTAGTCATGAGCGGCGACGACCTTATTCCGGCCAGGCCGGACGATATCCTTGACGGCGAGCTCTCCGAAGACCCCGCGTCCCCGGGTACCCCAGAGTCGCCCGAGGCCGAAGCGCCTCAAGAACCGGCCTCCGCCGAACATCCCTCCGAAATTGCAAAGCGACTGCCGTCTCTGAGATCCGTCTCCGACCCTCAAAACATGAATCCCAATTCCACTTCGCGCGGTGTCCTGGGCAGGGCAAGGAATCCCAATCAGGTTCCGACCGCCCTCGCTGGGGCTGCCACCATGGACAACAGTGTCATGGCCAGGGCCAGGGCGCTTCATCAGGAAAGAATGCAGAGAGGCGCAACAAGCAGCTCGCCCACTACGCCCTCGTCGGTCAGCCCCGTTACTGGCCCCAATGGCTTTCCGGGTGGTCTTCGCATGCCCGCGGCGCTGCAGCGACCCAGCTTGGGACAGCATCCCAAATCCGCCCCCTCGATCGCGCCTTCGCTCAGCCAGAGGAGAGCAAACAAGATGGGCATGGGTATGAAGCTCTCGGATATGAGCGGTGGCGGCTCCTCTCCAGGCTTCAAGCTGTCCGACATTACCGGTGACAATCCCGACGAGCAAAATACCAACGGCTCTGGCCAAGGCTCGAAAATGGATGACTTCAAGCAGTACATTGATGCGGAAAAGGGGTGGATCACGTTTGACGGAGCCGCCACCATCACGCGCACCGGTGTCAATTTTGCCAATGGGCAGACATTTAGCATTTCTCTCGACGAAGTTGAAAAACTGGACGAGCTCGGCAAGGGCAACTACGGCACCGTCTACAAAGTGAGGCATGCTAAGCCAAGCCAACCTCGGTTCGGCCAGGGCCTCTCTGGATCGCGTCTTTCCAAAACAAAGTCCGACCTCGCCCCTTCTCACACACAGACAGTTGAGGGAACAGACGACGACCCAGGCACGGAGCGAAGCGGCGGCACAACCGGCAAGGTCATGGCCATGAAAGAGATTCGGCTAGAGCTAGACGATGCAAAATTCACAACAATACTCAAGGAGCTGGTAATATTGCACGAGTGTGTATCGCCACACATCATTGAGTTTTACGGCGCCTTTTTCCAAGAAGGGGCCGTGTATATCTGCATCGAGTACATGGACGGGGGCTCTATCGACAAGTTGTACGAAGGCGGCATACCGGAGAACGTGTTGCGCAAAATCACCTACTCAACCGTCATGGGGCTCAAGACGCTCAAGGATGACCACAACATCATCCACCGCGATGTCAAGCCGACCAACATCCTGATTAACACGAGGGGGCAGATCAAGATCTGCGACTTTGGCGTCAGCGGCAACTTGGTAGCCAGCATAGCGAGGACCAACATTGGCTGCCAGAGCTACATGGCTCCGGAACGAATATCCGGCGGCGGCATGGCACAGTCCGGCAACGCCGACGGCACCTACAGCGTGCAGAGCGACATATGGAGCCTGGGACTGACGGTTATCGAATGTGCAACGGGCCGCTACCCGTATCCGCCAGAGGTGTCGTCCACCATTTTCAGTCAGCTGAGCGTAAGTCGACGACGTTTCTGCTCTACATCAAGGGCTCTAGCGATGACTAACAAATGCCAGGCCATTGTCGAGGGAGACCCTCCCGACCTGCCGAAAGTGGGATACTCGGATGTGGCGAGGGACTTTATCCGCGGCTGTCTGCACAAGGTACCCAAGATGCGGGCAACGTATGCCGCGCTCCTGAAGCATGCCTGGCTCAAGCCCTTTTCGAAGCCGCAAACCATTACTGAAGAAGTCGAGGAGGGAGAAGAAGCGGAGAAGGTGGCCGAGGCAGTCGGCAAGATGCGGCTGGGCAGCGCCAACACCGAGGATGTCGAAGTCGGCGACTGGGTCCAATCGGTGCTGAGGCGGAAGCTGCAAGGGCGCGGCGACGGCGGCCCGTCGCGTCCGGCCTTGCACGCGGCGCCCCTCGACACCATGAGTCCATTGGGGAGCCCGCTGCTTCAGAGGACTGCCGAGTTGTCATGATGGCCGGTGTTTGAGGGTACAAATGACGGAAGTTAGGGGTCCAAAAGCGTCGCGTCGGCCGCTGTGGCCATCATTGGTAGACAGAGCTGGCATCTGGGTGGGCAAAAAAAGTCTTGTCACATGGGACCGACCGTTGAGGCGCATCAAGACATGTCTCTCAACCATTCACCACGCAGCTCTGACTTTGCACCTTTTTTTCACGCAATGCATGTCTAGCTGGCGGTGCTCAGTTTCGGGTGTGTCGAGTTGAGACAATTTGGGAGAGAGAGAGAGAGATGCGAAACGGCGTGGTCTTGCTTGTTCCAGTTATCCGAGTACATGCATACCCGCGGGTTGGGAAGGATGGACGTTGTGTGGTAAAAAAAAATTGAAGGGGATTGAGCGCTCCCCATCCGGCCGAAAGACGAGGGCCGGAGGCTTGCTGTCTCGTCGGTAGACTAAACGAGAAACGATGCGAGATTGGGTGGAGCGTTTACACCTGTTGTCTTTTGTCACCGGTCATGAAATGCGCGAGTTTCGCCTTGCCTCGCCATCGGGGACAAAAGCTACGCGGGACACGGCCAATACCCTTTTCCTCAAGTGACTCGACAAGCAAGAAAGCTCAGACATGGCAAACAAGAAAGGCTGTGATGGTGACAAATCGTGAATACACGACGGGAGATTAGGTATTTACAGTGGGCGCCGATGAACCCTCATTATGGTTATATGCCCCCCCACGGTGATGGCACCTATTCAAACAAAAAGCCAAAAGAAGCCAGAGCTACCCGCGCAAAACACCGTGGCCTGTCCAAATGAACGTGTCAAGCGTCAGACATTTCACTCCAAATCATATTTACATGAAAAAAACTGCTCCAAGCACCGGGGGATAGAGTACTGTCATAGTGGTTGCGTGCGATGGTGAGGGCGGTGGTGCAGGATGACGCATGTGCCGGATTCCCGAGCTTCCTTGCCGACGACGGATCCTACTCTTTTCTTTACTTCCTTTCGATTGCTGCGGGAGGTGTGATGTTGCATCTGCCTATCCAGGCTGTGAGGGCAGCGGGCTCGCTGCGCCGCCTAGATGCCCCGTCGACAGTGGAACAAATAGGCGTGGATGGTTTACGAGTAGTCGTCCTTGACACGTCGGCCGTCATAGGACCGGCTGCGGTGGCTGCGAGCGCTCCGTGTGCTGCGTTTGCGCCAGAGGTCGCCTGAGCGATCCTTGCCGCCACGCATGCCCAGCCCAAAGAGCACGTTGGCGATGAGGAGCACGGCGAACGAGCCCCATAAGAAGCCGAAGGCATATCTGCCGAGACTGGCGTCGCGACCTTCCTCGAGAAACCTGTTGCGGGCTTGGACGAACGTGACACTGCGCAGAAGGTGTCAGGGTCAATTGTTCTTGCAGCTCTTTTGCATAGGGATGGTAGACTCACGTCATCAGAGACACGCCGACAGCGGAGCACAGGAGCGCAATGGTGGCGACAAAGAATGCAATGGCCGAGCCTAAGCGGCCGCAGCAGGCGAGGAAGCTGGTAAAGAAGGCCATGATCTCAAAGAAGAGGGTCATGATAAGAAAGACCCAGCCGAAGCGCCACAGGTAGAAGAACTTGAACGAGGTTGTCTCGCCGCCGTGGCTGCCAACAAGGGCGGCAGGCGCATTGTCGGCGTTGGCGCCCCAGGCGTATCCCAAGGGGGGCGCGGCGTGAGCCATACCGCAGTCCTGGTTGTCGAGGCCGCACATGTAGAAGTAGGTCCATTGCGTCGTGTCGCGGGCGCCGGTGATGCCCTTGGTGTCGGCGCGCAGGAAGTAGGTCTTGTCGAGAGGCGTGGTGTCGGTTACGCCGGAGAGGATGACGAAGAAGAGCATGACGAGCGAGCCCGCCAGCAGGGCGAGGGCGCCGAGGCCGAGGGATGCATCTGGGACGGCATTAGCATGGATCGGCGGAAGTCGACGCCGCTGCAGATTGATTGGTTTTCGGCCACGGCGAGATGCTTACTTTTTGCCATGGTGGACAGGTCGAGGGCGGATGAGTGGGTGTGCGTGCGGAGGGATGAGAGAAGGGCGGGTCGCAATTATGACGCGGCAAGCGGGCAGACGACAATTAATGTGCCATGTACAGACAGGACAGGACTATTGGTCTAGGGGTCTATTGGTAGCACAGGACAAATCAGCGGCCAGGGCGCGGCGGAGGAGGCGGGAGGCTGCCAACGAGGCTAGCGTACCGCTTGTCTTGGTTTCCGCCACGGGGGGAAGCGTCGTCGAGGACAGTTGGAACGCGAGGTTGGCCAAGATGGATGCCAACGGCTCGGTTGCGACGGAGAGCGAGCTGTTGCGCGGCAGCAGGGGGCGGGAGAGATTACGAGTATATTGAATCCAACAGCTTGTTGTGGCTGGCAGGCGTTGGACTGGATCGGCAGTCGACGTCGGAGCGAGGCGAGCGACAGTGGGTATCGTCAAAAGCAAAGGTTTGGTGTTCGGTCGAATGCAAAGGGAGGACAAGAATGAGGGGAGGCAGTCTGGCAGACGAGGTGTCTTATGAGGCAGCAGGCTAGAAGAGATGGGACGAGGGCCGAGAAAAACATGAGAGCGAGGTTAGGTCTGCCGCGCCGCAGCAGGGATGGGAGCTCCAGCGATGACGACACAGGGCTTGGGGTTAGCGTGCGGCCAGGGCATAGGTGCCTAGCTCCACTGGCGAGGTACTGGTACTTGGCAACGCCCAACATGCCAACCCCAGTGCCGCCGGGTCGTCACCTACGGTACCTTACTATCTTACTACCTGTAGTAGGAGACTGCGCCCCCAGCAGCCAAGTACCTAGGTTCAATAAGGTGGTACTAGTACTATTCGTACCTAGTAGGTAGTACTGTATAGCCCAGCATAGCGTGCATGGTTGCTTGACCTTGTTGTGTTCGGACAGATTGAGAGAAACTGCAGATAAAATGTCTCTCGTCGAGGCCATTTCGTGCGAGCAACAGCAACACAAGACCAGGGTCCCGGCCTCGCCCAGGCCGAGAGTGCGCTTTCGTCCGCATTAGCTCGGCATCCAGGGTACCTGGACTGCATGTTCCAGCCCAAGGTGAAGCGTGTTGGATCAAGCTTCTTCTTCCATTGGCAACACAAGAGGCAAGACGTTGAACCGGTACCTTCTGTCCGTACAGTAAGCCCAGCTGGAAGGCAGCCTGGCGTCCCCACTCCCCCAGTACTCCCCCAGTGGATTAGCGTAGGTACTAAGCTCAGACGAAGCGGACTCGCCCGCCCCGGCCTGATGTCATGGGTATTTGTCGGGGCAGACTGGAGCCTGTTTCGACGGCATCTTTTTCCCCGGCTGCAAAGTTCTGGATCCGTTTGTCGGCAGACATGACCGACGCATCGGATATACCGTATTCACCCTGCGTGCCGATACTGTGCGAGTCCACCTCGACCCAGCGTCGTCGCTCTCCCGGGCAGCCGGGCCGACGGCTTGCAGCATCTCGAAACGTCTGTCTGTCTGTCCGTATCCATGCAGACAGTACCGAGCACATGTCTCTTCTAGCACGCCGGGCTGTCCGTTGGTGGTGGCGACGGCTTAAACTCTCTGTCGTCACTCTCGCCGTCATTTTGACTGACGGACTCCGCCGCAGATAACGGCACTGTGACGGCAGCCTTGGCCCTGTCGATATGGATGTCTCTCTGGCTCTCTCGTGTGCGTGCGTTGTAGTGTGTGTAAGCTCGACGCCATCAGCCCATCTTCCTCTCCCACCACCACGACGGGCAGCAGCGCCTTACGCGCGTCCAGCAGCCCACACGTACAGAATGTGTAACAAATGGAAGAAAGAAAAGGGAAATGGAAGAAGAAAATCAAGGCCCCCGTGCTCTTATGCATGCGCCTTTTGCAGCCCCATATGGGTCCAGCAAAAAATCGCCCCGTCTCAGCATCCTCCCCCCCACCACGTCCGAACTTGCATGCATCCAACCAACTCCTCAGCTGCGTTGCCAGGATTGGCCGGTGCACAATTTTCCCAGGCCAACGTCACCACGGACCGTCGTCGTCGTCGGTGCCGTTTCCGGCTTCCGGGGACCCTCTGTATGGTTTAGTACTTGCCAAGTACGGACTAGGTACCTTACTCCGCTCATTCAATACAAATCAACATGTACCAAGCGGGTCCCTTGTCCGTGATCCCGAATCGAACCGGGCCAGTCGCCACATTTTCTCCCGTCACCGCCGTGCTTTGTTGGAGAACCGGCTCGAGAACCGGTTCTCAGCTGGGCCGTCTTGTTGCCGGAAGTCGTCACGAGACATGCGGCTCGTGGCTAGCTTGCGCCCTCGCCCCGTTGCGTCCTCGCTGCGCGCTCGAGTCAAGGCGTGTTCGAGCCTCCCATCGCCAGCGCCTCTCCACGGAGCTGCGGATACCAATGTCCTCTCGGGATGCCAGCGCCGAGGCTTAAGCCTGCTCCAGCACCGGCACCTCGGAGAACCCGCCGGCCAACCCGCCGGCCCCGCCGGCATCGTGAGCTACGACATGGCCCACGAGATCCAGGAACAGCATCGGTCCCTTTTTCTCGCCTGGAAGGCCTTGCCCGACAGCCCAAGGCGCGAGTCTGAGGGTCCCCGGCCGCTTCTCGTATCCTTCGAGTCCACGCCGACTTTCACCATTGGTCGCAGGCAACATGACCTCACCACGGACCAGGCAGCCCGTCTTGGGCAGAAGCTCGACGTGCGTCTCACGCATCGCCGGGAACCCGTCCTTCAGAGCTACTACCCGGATGTGACCAGGACGAACCGCGGAGGACTCACCACATACCACGGCCCTGGCCAGCTCGTCCTGTGGCCCGTCATCGACATGCACTCGCACTTGCACGCCCGATACGGCGTCGCCTCGTACGCGAGCCACCTCGAGGCCACGACGCAGCGCCTGCTCGCTGAGCTGTTTGGCATTCAAACGTCCACCGTCCGCGACGAGCCCGGCGTCTGGGTCGGGGCGTCGGGGCGTCGACCGCGCAAGATTGCGGCCCTGGGCGTCCACCACCGACGCCATGTCACGTCCCTAGGCATTGCCGTCAATGTTGATGTGGCGGTCACGGGCGGCGAGGAAGTGAATCCCTGGTCGCGATTTGTCCCCTGCGGACTGCAAGACAAGGCCGTCACGTCTATTGCGGCCGAGATGGAACACGCGCCAACTGAGCCGTGGGATATGGTGAAGCTCGCTGAGCGTTGGGCGAGCATCTTTGAAGAGGGATTGTTGAACGGCAAGAGGGGCGGTGTTGGCAAAGAAGCGGACGCTCGGCTTCAGCCGTGACAGGGTACAAGGACGTCAGCAAGGCCGAGATCCGACGATGCCTAGCCCGGCACTGCATGGTGAGGCGAGAAGGAGTCATTGCCATGGAAAAAGCACGCCAAGGCAACTTCCGAGGCAATCTTTCTGGCAGTTGGCCTTGCAAGTTGCAATGGCCCCATATACGATGGTGGCCAGTGCTCCCGGTGTCAGGTACGACTGTCCAAACTTATACCGGAATCTCGCAGGCTCGACAGGCCAATTCGCTCAGCAATGTCGAACACGAAGACGCGGCAATGCCTTCGGGAGCGAGATGGCTCGCGGCTGACATCTGGGACACAGCTGACTGCATATGCCTTGTGTGGGGGATGCGGCGAGGGGGGGTTGTGACGGAAAGCCGCTCGCGGGGCGTGCATGGCATTCATGCATGCACATACGTACCTAAAGACATGGAATCAAGGCGTCCAGGACGTAGCTGACCAGGCCCGGATCCAAAGGCAGGCCTCCAGGGATCTGGAGGATACGCCCTGGTGTGACCATGGGCTGCCGATAAGTTAATCACCCCCATACATATTGGGGCGGCGGCGGCGGCACCGAGGCCGGCCGGCGGCGGCCAGGAAGCCATTGCTGGTCCAATGCCTGGGCGCAAGGGTCCATGTGTCTGGATGGACCCTTGCGAGACCATATTCTGGGGAGAGATAAGCGAGGCCTTGAACTGCGCGTGGGGACGGTTCCGTATCACTCAAGGGGATCGAAGCCCAGTAGTCAAGGTTTCTTATCAGGATGAAACCGGCCGAGGCCAACAATACTGATCTGATGTGCCGGGTGACAGGCAACAGTATAGGTGAGAGGTGCTGCTTGCTTTGCTCTGTCCTTTTTCCGTCGCTCAAGGGCACCGGGCACTGAGACTTGATTTGTTTTGACGGCATGAAGGTTTCTTGGGGCAGGTGATTCCGTCGTCGCTGTTGTGCAAGGGCGAAAAACATGGACGCTGATTGGCTCTTGACGTGCGGCGGCGGCGTTTCCTTCTTATCGCGATTTCACCCTATCGCTCACACCAACAAGCCCAAGCTGCGCCAGTTTCGGGCTCCTTATCTCCAACAATGCAATGGGACATGGTGGCCCGTTTCGTCGCTGCCGGGTGGCATTGTGTGCTCTGGCATGCCAACCTCGGGGGGGTGTATATCACCCGAGGAGGCCGCCTTGTCCCATGGCTGAGGAGCAAGATGAATGTCTCGGTGACATCTGCCGCGACGAGAGCACCGTGGATGCCACCATTTTGCCCTTGATCCCGAGGTTCACGCCGCGTCTAGGAGTGTCGACTCCCTTCTTGCCTTGAACATCATGGCCAGCCCCGGTCCGGCCCTGAGCCAAGGCTATGGCTACGGCATCGTCCTCGGCGTCGGCTTTGCCTTTGCCGTCTTCATGGTAAGGGCTCATCAGCGCTCTTGAGCCACGCTCTGTCTAACGCGAGGCCCTCGGCGGCAGATTTCTCTCACGTACATCCTCAAGCGCTTCAACAATGAAGTCCAGACGTCCGAAATGTTCAACACGGCCGGCCGCACCGTCAAGTCCGGGCTCGTCGCCTCGGCCGTCGTCTCGTCGTGGACCTGGGCCGCGACGCTGCTGCAGAGCACGGGCGTGTGCTATCGCTACGGCGTCTCCGGGCCCTTTTGGTACGCCTCCGGGGCCACGGTCCAGATCCTCCTGTTCGCGACCTTGGCCATCACCCTCAAGAAGCGCGCCCCCAACGCCCACACCTTTCTCGAGGCCATCAAGGCCCGCTACGGGGCACCGGCGCACTTCACCTTTATCTCCTTTGGCCTCGTCACAAACGTCCTTGTCTCGCTCATGCTCATCGCCGGCGGCGCCGCCACCATCAACGCGCTGACGGGCGTCCATGCCGTGGCGGCCATCTTCCTCATGCCCATCCCCGTCGTGGCCTATACCTTTATTGGCGGGCTCAAGGCCACCTTCATCACCGACTACATCCACGGCTTTGCGGTGCTCATCATCATCATGCTCTTTGCTCTCACCGCCTACGCCACGTCCGATGTGCTGGGCAGTCCCTCGGCCGTCTACGACCTGCTCGTCGACGCGGCCAAGGCGCACCCCGTGGCCGGCAACCAGGACGGCAGCTACCTGACGATGCGGTCCCAGGGCGGCGTCATCTTCTTCGTCATCAACATTGTCGGCAACTTTGGCACCGTCTTCCTCGACAACGGCTACTACAACAAGGCAATTGCCGCTCACCCCGTCCATGCGCTGCCGGGCTACATCATGGGCGGCATCGCCTGGTTCGCCATCCCCTGGCTGACAGCCACGACCCTCGGCCTGTCGGCCCTCGCCCTCGAGTCGAGCCCGCGCTTCCCCACGTATCCCGACCGCATGAGCGAGGCCGACGTCTCGGCCGGCCTGGCCCTCCCCTACGCTGCCGTTGCCCTGCTCGGCAAGGGCGGCGCCGTCGCCACGCTCTTCATGATCTTCCTGGCCGTCACCTCGTCTTTCAATGCGGAGCTCGTCGCCACGTCGTCCATCTTCACCTACGACATCTACCGCACCTACCTGCGGCCCGACGCCGACGGCAAGCGGCTCATCTGGATGTCGCACGCGTGCATGGTCGTCTACGCCGCCGTCATCTGCTGCGTCTCGACGGGGCTGTGGTACAACGGCATCTCGATGGGCTACCTCTATCTCCTCATGGGTGTCCTCATCTCGGCCGCCGTCATCCCCGCGACGCTGACGCTGTTGTGGAGCCGGCAGAACCGTTGGGCCGCCGCGCTGACGCCGGTACTCGGGACAGCCTGCGCCATTGCCGCATGGCTCGTCACGGCCAAGAAGACGTGCGGCAGGCTCGACGTCGAATGCACGGGGTCCAATAACCCCATGCTTGCCGGAAACGTGACGGCGCTGCTGTCGCCGCTCGTCTTTGTCCCCGTGTTCGGCCTCCTCTTCGGCTTTGACAAGTACGACTGGCAGTCCATGATGGCCATTCGTAAAGCAGACGACCACGACGTCATCCAGGACTCTGGGCTGGACCCAGAGACCCGACGAGAGCTGGAGCGGGCTCAAGAGGCTGACTTTGCGTTGGAGCAGCGCAAGCTGAAGCGAGCATTCAAGATTGCTTGCGTCACGACCGTCACCATGTACGCTTCCCCGTTCTTATTCCCTTTGCTACCCTTGCAGGGCTCGTCATGCGTTGCCCTTGCTGACCCGACCCGCGTAGGGCTCTGTCGTTGCTGGTCCTTTGGCCCATGCCACTGTACGGCTCGGGCTACATCTTTTCCAAGAAATTCTTCACCGGCTGGGTGTCGGTCGGCATCATATGGATCTTTTGCTCCTTTGTCACCATCGGCTTGTATCCTGCGTGGGAGAGCCGGGCGACGCTGGCGCGCGTGGTGAGACACATGGTGACGGGTAAGGCACCGGCAGAGCCGTCGCCGGAGCTCGCGAGCGCGGAGGATTTAAGCGGAACGGCAACGCCGGTCAAGGGGGAGGCATAGGGGGACCAGGGGTTGAAGAGAAGAGAAAGGGGAACGCTAACGGCCGAGATACCTAGCAAAATAGAGCATCGATCTTAGTAGTCTTGCGCTTCTTTGTAGCAAATCTCCTTGTATAGACCAACTCGCTATCGAGGGGTTGGCCTAGGTAATCCTCCATCACCTGCCGCTCGTCCTAGCTGCTGCCTTTTATGAGCACTGCAGGCGGAATCTGCGCCCTCGCCTGCGCTCATCGGGTCGTGCTGGAAGCAGGTGTTGAAGATGTCTGCCGAATAGGCGCGGGGGAAGAAAGAATTATCGCGATAATCCATAGTGAACCCTCGTAGGCACAGAGGCTGGGACTCAAGCAAGGCATACGGAGCGCGGAGGTACTTCGTTCCGATCCGTCCCACTTGGTCACCTGCGGCTTACCTCAGCGGATTGTGATCCAGCGCGCGTGTCGTCGTTCGTTGTCATTCCCTCCTGCAAAGCACCATTTCCCAATTTCTCGACCATGGCACGTCTCGGCGCAGCTCTCGCGCCCCATCAAGATGCCATCAATGGAAAGACCTGGTCCCGGAGTCGTTGACGCAGAGGCCCTTTCCATCCATGATTGGGTTCGCCGTCAACCCAGAACACGGATTCTCGTCGACCCTCTGCTATGGACGAAGCTGCACCTCGAGCTGCTGTCCTGCACATTTAGCAAATGCCGTCCTGCGCCCCCAGCCATAATGCATATTCCCATGACTGAAGACGACGACTATCGGCTGCGGAAATTCAAGCGCCTCTTCTTTCGCGACGGAAACCAATGGGAAGCAAAGGAAGGGACGATACGTGGGCTTATCGCCATTGAATCCTCACCACTGACTTGGTTGTAAGCTGCCAGACTCGCTGCCAAACTCGCCGCGTACCACTAAATGGCGTCATCTAATCTTGACTCGCACAGTTGCTATCTCCACCTGCACGTCGGTGGCTACCGCCCTGTAGTTCTCCCGTGCACCTACTATTGCTTCCGCAAAGACTGCGATGGCGAGAATCCTGGACATGCTCTCCCCGTTGCTGCACACGTCGACCGTCGCCACATCACCTTCTTGCGCAAGAAGAAGCTCGGGATGCCCATGGGTCTTCGAGACAACCTCCCGGCCTTCACTTTGGTCAAACTCAAACTCAAGAGGCTTTCTCCAACCGAGTCGCTGCACGATCCGTACCTGGTGGCGCTCTTGCTTGCCCTTGGCCAGCGACAATGGAGGATGCTGGGACAGGAACAAACCCGGCAAGCAGCTGGCGTAACTGTACGCACCCATGCAAGTACTCATCATGCATCCCGATTAACCTGCTAATGCGAATTCTAGCCGAAGGTCTTATTCTCCTCCGAAGACCACGATCATTTATACCTCTACTCGGCAAAAATATCGTCGTCTCTTCTTAGCATGTTCGATGATCCAGCTACCGCTCCGTCGGCGCCAGATTCCCTCCCGATCCAAATCACCTCAATTCCTTACAAGCCCCACGAAACGCTTCGTGGTCGTCTCTTGGCGCTTCTTCTCTCGGCGACGAGTCCTCTCGACGTGGACAAGGCAGAAAACTTGATTGTATATACCTAGACTACCTTTGCGCGCCACGCGCTCCTGACAACAGGGGCTGTTTAATACTTTTTAGCGCCTGTGACTGCGTTGCACCCTTCAGATTCCCCAACGAAAGATAACACTCTTTTACTGCTGAAATAGTAGCTAACTCTCTACTGCAAGGAAATCAGTAACCATCTGACTAAGGACTTCTTGCTTATAGCTGTGTCGCGCCTGCAACCGTGTTATCGCTCTTTACTCTATCGGCGCCTGTGCCTCTGTTGGCTGTCTCGTAACTCAATTGGCCGCCTTGTGACTCTGCTGCCGTCACGTGACTGTCACGGCAGCCGTCAGCCATAGCGCGTGCAAGCTACCCTCGCACCAGCCTCGCAATGCAATGGCCTATATTAATCCAAATAATGCGATTTCCTTCAATCAGTAGACTATTTGGCCGAACAGCATTATAGACTCCTTGTTTTTAGTTCCAGTAAGAAGACTCCTTACAGCCAGCTTGTGGGTCTGGCACTTTGTGACAAGGCCAAGTCTATGCAGAGAGGGGCCAGTGGAGAGAGGCTTGTGGCAGTACGGTTGGTCTGTCGAGACCCGTCAGAAGCGCACAGTCTACATATACTAAAATTCCTAATCCAAACTCCACTAAAGCCCCAATGGCTCAGCGGTAGAGCGTGTCACTAGTACCGTTCCTCATGGTCGGTTAAATGCTATGACAAGGTCGTCAGTTCGACTCTGGCTTGGGGCACAAGCGCTTTCCCCCTTTATTAGGGACATGTCTTATGTCGTTGGTCATGTTCGGCCAACTTCATTTTTTTGGTATTTATGGCGAATACACTGTACCAGACAGTGTATTCGTACCAGACACACGCAAATACCGCCCCGACCGAAGCTCCTTCCTCCAGAAACTGCATAATACACACTCACCGTCTTGATGATATAATAGCGGATGTATAACCCGGACATGACTCTTCTACTGATGGCGACGCGTAGCTCGAACCACGACGACAAATCCCGGAGAGAGAGGCTGCCATGGGGCCATAACCGCCGCCACGTCACACCCCAACCTCGGCCCACTCTCCCCAGCTCTATCAACCAACCAGCTCGCCCTCACTCACTGCACTGGACCAAGCGGCGGCCCGAGCCGCTGTAATGCTCCTTCAGCCAGCGCCGCCGACAACGTCATCCGACTTTACCGGTGGTGCCCAGTTTGTTGTATCACTGTTCAGACGGTCGATCATGATCGATCGCGAGACTAGCATAGTGAATTCTTTTGCAGATTCAGATTGCCGTCTCACTGTCGGGTCTGTTCCTCTATCAACTTCTGAAAGCTCTTCCTGACTATGGCCTCTCCCTATAGAAAACATCTTCGCTTCTCCTTTAATGGGCGCGGCCGCACAATTTTCCATTGCGCCGCGTTCTGTCCCGAGTCAAATCCGCCAACGCAGCTGCCATTGCCGCATACATCGACCAAGATCGTCTCAGTATTATGCGCTCTGACGCGTTGACACCAGATTTCAGCAGACGACGGGGTCGACGCATCGCTTGCTTCCTCCTTATCCCGCGCCCACAGAACCCTTGCAAGACCCATATATTGTCGCGTTTCTGATCGCTGTAGCGCGAGAACGGTACAAAGAGGCTATGGAATCAAAGGATAGCGGTGGGGAGGGTTGCCTTCGTACATTCTCTGTGTGACAGCCGCATTCTGCCGTATCTCATTCTGTTGACGGGACCATGTCGATCTAGTCCAAGGTCGGAAGAACCAGGCCTGGCTTCGTGCCGCCATTGGCAGGACGCGACCCTCACGGGAGGTGGCTACACAGTCATCGTCAAGGGGGTCCCAGCCCAAGCGCTTGAGAGAGGGGGGAAGGAAGTACTTACGAAGGAGATATCAAGGGCCAGCGATATCTCTGTTATCAAGCTCCATGCGAAGAGGAGGCACGCCGCGGCAGTACCGAGGACGGCCCTAGTCCTTACGGTCGACGGCGTGCCTGCAGCGAACAAGCTCTGCGACCGCGGAGTAGTGATCTAGTCGGAGATCTACGATGCCGAACCATATGCGGACGAGGTACGGCCCCGATAGTGCTTTAGGTGCTATCGGATCAGCCACATTGCAAAACACTCTGCCGCTTGCGCGATATGCGGGAAGCGCAGTGCGACCGCGCACGAGGGGGGTGAGATGCGTGCCCCATAAAGGAAGGGAAGATTCCGCTTTGCTGCCCTCTTTGCGCAGGGGCGCACCCGGCCTAGAGCCGGGCTTGCTCTAAGACGAGGGCCTCCTGGGACGCAGTACGGGCCTCCTACACCCGGGCGGCGCGTTTCCACGAGAGGCGACCAGTTGAGGAGTGACCCTAGCTGGAACCGGTGACTGCGGTGGCGACAGGGGCCCGACTAGTAAAAAAGGGCAAGGGAGACGACGGCGGTTGCAACAGACGAAAGGAGCATAAGAAGATAGGGAAGCCTACCGACCTGATAAGGGCAGGGACCACCCCGGGGCAGAAACAACTCTAGATGTCTCCAGGTCTAGACGTCCTACTGTCTATCTAGAGGTTTATAGACCCTACAATATAAGACCTAGAGGAGGGAGGACCTTTAGGAGGACTGCTAGCCTGCCGGACCCAATAGGAACCTACGCTGCAAGCGCAAGCGTAGCTTGCTTAAAACACTGCTAGCCAGCAGGGCGTTAAAGGGGAAGGTTAGGCTGGCCGGCCTAGCAGGGAGATCTACCTTTTTGATATATAGTGTGCCAAGTCCGATAATTCCCGGGCTTAAGCCAACAAGAACGCGGGCTATAGGGTTTCGACCAGGCGGGACAGGCTAAGGTTTTTCCTATAGCCGTAAAAGCGTAACCGTTTCTAGATACCTCTTGCCAGGTTCTTAGCGTAAGCTTAAATAAATAAATAAAGTCTATGGTGTTATACGCCTCTCCGAAAAAGGAGTGTATATACCTCTATACTGCCGGCATGCCCTCTTTGTTACTCGACATGCTCAACAACTCAGCCATCCCACCCGTGCGTGACGCAGCCGTCCGTCTCGATTCAGGTTACAGTCAAACCCTATAAGCCAGGCAGCTCTCTCCGCGACCGCCTTTTTGCTTTTCTGCTAATCCGCTTGAGAATCATGGTTTAGACAAGAAGCAGAATGTGGAAGACAAGGACACTCGGCCTTGGTTCACGGGATGTAAAATATATGAGATGGTGACCGGAGGGATGCAGGCATTACCCGGGTGCCTGATCGCTCGACCCGTCACCAAGGATTGTTGATTCGGTCCGGCTATTACTTGATTGGGAAATGTGCCCGTCAGAGCGTGCCAGGCGAACCACTTCCAGTGCCTCGATTGCCGGATCAGTTTCTCTCGGCTTCAACGCCGGACATCTGCTCTCAGAATTGACCCGAGGGCTGGGCTGCATTCGTGAAGGGCTGAACCTGGCTGCTGGAGGACAGGAAAATGTATAATTAATGGGAGAGGCCGAAGCCATCTCAAGGGTGACTGACGGAGCCCTGGCCGACTAATGGTTGACTGAAGGCTGACTGATGGCTAAGTGATAGTTGATCGATGACTCGAGCAGTCCATTTCCTGCACATTCGGGAAGTGCCTCGGGTCGTCGTACTAATTCTGGGACTGCTAAAGCGACTGCACATCTCGCCAGATACGGTTACTTGTGCCCGTGGACAAAGCCCCCAGCCGCCCCTTTCAAGACGCTGTAGTTTGGAATAAGAAGTGCCGCAATAGGCACATGGCCGCCTGCCACCTTTCGGGCTTAATTTCCGCTGTATGCCGACCCAAGATGACCTGCCCTCCGCGTCCTTTTTGCTCCCAGCACCATGTTCCTGCTCAAACTATTGTTGAAAGCGGGATGGCCTGCGTCAACTGCCAAGATTCTTGTTCTCTATCAAATCCATCCAACGAAAAACACTGTTCCTCCTATTAATCGCCCCGATCTTTATTTTGCCACGAGGTCTAGCCGCACATTTCTGTTCACTACGCCGTTTGGCAGTCCTAAGCACCTAAGACACTGTCTTGGCAATCTACTCAGCAGAAGGCGACTACTTGTATAGAATACTTCGCCAAGACGGTGCTTATAGGAAGAGGGTGGTTTATATTTTGTTTGAGTATCTAGATCTAATGCCGAAAGACTCCCAAACCCACGGCCCTAGTGTTATTCTGACTACTTAACCAGCCGAGTGGTCTGATAAGAGGAAGACTTTTACCATTTTAAATGACGACTTTAGCTTATAAAGGCAGCCTGACGCTTTTAAGCCGCGTACCCTGTGGCAAGAATACGTGCACGAGGACTACAACTTCTTCGATATCTTTAAAATGCAAGGCATTAGGGGGGTCAAGACTCGGGCTTAGCGCTTCTAAGAACAAGGGAAGCAGCGGTATTTAAAGATGGCTCGATTTAATTTCGAAGTCAAAGCTCTAGAACGAGAGGCCAAAGCGTACCAGACTTTAACGTGTTATGTTTCGAATCTAGCACCGACGGTGCTAGGCTGTTCTTTTAAGGAGACGCGGGATCGAGTGGTGGTCATCGAGGAAGTCGTTAGACGACATTCTAGCATTGCAGATTTTGCGACATGCCAAGTGGCGTTGCGGTAACTACATAGGTTAGGCATAATTTATAGAGATGTTAATATCTATATTATATTTTGTACCAAGAACGAGGTCGTTATATTGGCCCTGCTGAATATGAAGAAGAGTGGATACGAGTGACGGACAAGGAAATGCAAATGCTGGAAGGGAATCCGTTAGACGATTCAGATGAGGAACGCCCGTGGGAGTGACTGAGGTCCCTGTAAACTATTGTAGCTGTTAGAGGCCTGCTCTCTGTACGAGCTCCTTCACTACATGGCTGGTGTATTCCACACTTGGTTCTCATCCCGAAGCCCTATAAATGGCACTAGATCCATATACTACGCGTTCCCGCGGTCTACAGGAAGTGCTTACCAGTGAGTGCCCCTGCTTACGCAAAACGGCAGGCATTTCAGTTATTACACTCTGCAACGCCTGAAGGGGTGTGTTACAGACTAAGCTCAATCTGTAGGAATTGTCCTTGGCTTGGGATCAACACTGCAGGATGTACCAACCAAGAGGAGAATAACGGTGACGAAAGCAGCTGAGGGAGACAGGGACGCCGCCAGAGGCACTGAATGCAGTGGTCAACGTGTAAGACTCATTGGAAGTCACATATGGTCCCAGTTCTCTATTTCCGGCTTATTTAGTAAGGAGTCCTGTTGGTCTAGACATAGCATGTATACATATATAGTTACGCCTGGAGACACCCCTCTTTTTAGGGAGGCCAGTGCATTCTGTCTCTTAGGGCAAGGTCTATATAACTAGCAACAAATTAACCTCTGATGCCTCAATAACTCTCCTAGCTGCAGGATGCATAAAGGAAATTACTTATATATATATATATATGAACATCTTAATGCCTCCTTTTGACTAGTTACTTAGGCCCGTAAGGGGCACCTGTACCTATATAAGCCACTCTCTCGTCCCGATAGATAGACCAAGGCATGTGTGATGGTCTAGGTGCCGTTGGCCTAGACCGTTGGAATCTGGGGTCTGGCCACATGGCTTGTCATGTGGCTGGACAAGTGTGTGTATATAAGCGGCTGCCGCACCGGTGGGCGTGGCGCCCGCTCTTTCCTCTCTTTCCCCCTCCGTAGTTTATTGGCCTTCTTATACGGACCGCACCTGCGCCCCCTTGCCTCTGCCCACTCTGTGACAGCATACATCACTGAGTTCACCTCTTTGAGACCCCTATATCTCCTTCCACTGTGCTCCTAAGCCCCTGCTTGAGAGTATCCGGTTTGTGGCCGAGCGGCAGCACGCCTCGGCACGCCTCGCCAGATACCTTCAGTCCTTGGCCCAGGCTACCAAAGCAAGGATATGGGAGGCAATGTCCTCTCTATGTTCACGCTTCTTGATGTCAAGCCATACTGTAGAGTCGATACGCAGAAAGCCGGCTAGGTTGTCCGAGTTGTTGGCGAGCAATTCTTGGTAGCTGCGGTAAAAGTCGTCCGAGATGTGAAAGTGAAAGAATCTCACGAAGTGAGTGACCGCAAGAATCGTGATAAAGCTATCGAAACCCTATGGTCAGTTCTGGGTTGGCATGATAGGAGACAACACCCTGGCAGATACGTACTCGGTCTGAGAGACTGGTTCAATGTCTCCGCATCGAAGGGCCAGCGTTTCTCCCACCATTTGGGCTAGCAGCTCGTCAGAGACGCTTGGATCCCCCTCGATGACTTTCTCAAACGTCCGTTTGACTTCCAGCATCGCCACGTGTTGGCTAGTGTTTACCGGATCCATGAGTCGGATGCTCCCATCGTCCACCGCGTGGATCTGCTTCTTGCCCTCCGCATAAGAATACGTCCGGCGCTCATCGCGGAAGCAAAGAACCGGACCCGTCTTGTCCCGGCGTTGGCCGTAATTCAGCACGCAGCGGATGAAGCAGCTGGCTAGACGGACGGTAGCATCTTCGACGAGCGGTGCTGCGAGTCCCTTAACGAAGCCCGCGCTTGAGTGAGTCGAATCGGACTCTGATGATGAGGGCCTAAATCGATAGTCGGGGGAACTTCCGAATGTGACCTTGTCAGATGGAACGAAGTTTTGAAATTTCCCAGGTCTCCCTGACGTCCGTTTAAGTGCTGCCCGGTCTGTTGATTCCGAGAAAGCGGGCTGGGTAAGATGCGCTGCAGGGCGTACGAAAGAAGCCAAAGCTGCCCAAACATAGCCAAGGCTGTCTGGCTCGTAGTGCTGCACGAGCTCAGGCTCCCACTTGTTCTTGAGGGCGTCGATGCTTTCTGGGCCCTCAATCAGGCCGTCGATGCAAGCGTGGATGTTTCTGAGGTCGCGAGGCAAGTACCCGCCGGACTCAAGCAGAGGCAGGCGTTTCTTGGGCTCTTTGCAGAGGACACGGTGTGCGAATAAGTGCTCGCGACCCCATTGACTGACGGCGCTCTTCCAGTGCCCGGACTGGACTAAAGTTGAGAGGCTGTCCTTGCCCTTGGCCCTTTGCGCAAAGGTGGACGGGTCTCTCTCTGATTGTCTTATAGTAAGTCTTGTCGTTGTTTGAAGACATAGTGGTGATGGAAGAGGAAAATAGACGTTGAAAATGGACGTTGACCTTGACGGGCTGGATGGCAGGCAGCTTGGACGAGAAATGCGTTGGGGCAGGAAAGGGCATCATCCCCTTGGGCGACGACGTGGGGCCAATGTGATTTATGAAGGGCCATATGTCGGGCCAGCTGGCAGGGACAGTGACAACCGAGGTGGATAACGAACGACTGGCAGCTGGCAACAACTGGCGCTGCACGCTGCATGCTTCGACGGACGAGGGTGTGTGCCGGCCTGGGAGCGTCAGCAAAGCAAGCATACGCCATAGGCTGGCGCAGTTCCGAGTCCAACCAACAGGGTCGCATCAGGAGACTGCAACCGCAGCCACGGCAGATTGTCATCTAACAACAGGGGTTGTAAGAGAGTGTTGCGGGCCAAAATTGCGTTCCGCCCAAATCCTGTCTTATAACTCGGGTGGGTTAAAAGCGGGTATGTAGGTTACTATAAGAACAATCAAAGAAAATAGTCTCCATCAAAATACTCCCCAATATAGAGAAAGCGATTATATAAAACCTATTATTTTAGTAAAATAAATAAAGAGTACTCCGTCCGTACCTTGCCCTTGATTATAAGATATAAGACACGAAGCGCGCGGCTACGAGGTACGAGGTACGGGGACGGGATTACAGCTTACGGGGCTGTCACCCGCTCTGCTGTCTGGAGGGGGTTGCTGTGGCGTGCGCACCTAAAAGGGAAAGGCGACATGCTAGGTACAGTACTCTACCTAGGCACCTACCTACCTAGGTAGGTACCTTGCATCTAGTACTGTATGTACGGATACCTAGAGTCCAAATTGCCTGGCTACCAATTGAGTGAGCGCCTTTAAATCAAGCACGACAGCATGCCCTGTGCCGGATGGGCAATTAACCTTTCAGCGCCGTAGGCCGAAGTAGAGAGTATGTTATTCTATCTTAGTAGTGGTAGGAAACAAGAGTTTACGTATAAGTACTCTCTACCTAGCTACATCGCCGACCTTACCTTTTAAATATGCGCGCCTCAGTCCCCCCGAACTTTTAGGTGGCCAGATTAGGCAGAGCGGGTGGCCGACTATTAGACGACCAGCTTACGGGCTACAAGGCACACGATGCGAAGACGAAGAACAAAAACCACACGCAACTACGGGCCGAACGCAAGCCTACGAGAGTTTTTGTTCCATCTCTTGTTTCTGAATCCTGGCATAATACTGGGGGCGTGTGTGCTTATTTGGAAGGCTTGGCCAGAAGCGCAACCAACGGCAGCCACAGTCACCACCGTGGCAAATCCCATGGCCCAGGCCACCTTTGCTCTGTCTTCTTTCCGATACGACTCTTGGGGAAGAAGGGACCTGAGGAAAGTAACATGACCTTCCTGGCATCACCACCTGCCCGGGTCTCGGATGGCCAGCCGTCCCCACTTGACTCCGAAGCACCCCCACCAGCTGCATCAGTCCATGCCGCTGGAGTCGGATGATGCTGACATTTTGACGGGGGAAATAAAAAAACCCTGACGGACCCTCATCATAGACTGCGCATCAGCAGCCGGCGCCGACAATGCATCCCCTCGCGGCAGCCGAGCTGGCCGCGGCCGGCTCGCCGGGCTCGGGGACCCCGTTCCGCGCCACGACGGGCCACGTCCACCGCACCTGGGCGCGGACCTTCTCCAGCCTGCCGGAGCTGTACATCCAGCCGGAGACCGAGGCCGAGGTGGAAAAGGCCGTCGCGCTGGCCCGGCGGTGCGGGCGCCGCGTCGTCGTCACCGGCTGCGCGCACTCGCCCTCGGACCTGACGTGCACCTCGAGCTGGATGCTCAACCTCGACCGCCTGGCCCGCGTCGTCGCCGTCGACGCGGCCCGTCGCGTCGCCGTCGTCCAGGCCGGCATGAGGCTGTATGCCCTGTGCGACGAGCTTGCGCGCCACGGCCTGGCCATGGCCAACCTGGGCAGCATCAACCAGCAGTCGGTGGCCGGCGCCATCTCCACGGGCACGCACGGCAGCAGCGCGCGCCACGGGCTCGTGTCCGAAGACGTCGTCGCCCTGCGCCTCACCCTCGCCTCGGGCCTCACCGAGTTCTGCTCCGCCGACGTGCGCCCGGACCTGTTCCGCGCCGCGCTGCTGTCTCTCGGCGCCCTGGGCGTCGTCACCGAGGTCACGCTGCGCGCCGTGCCCGCCTTCTCGCTCTCCTGGCGCCAGACCATCGACGCCGACGCCGCCCTCTTCGCCGCCTGGGAGGACCCGCCCGGCCGTCTCTGGGCCCAGAGCGAGTTTGTCCGCGTCTGGTGGTTCCCCTACACGCGCCGCGCCGTCGTCTGGCGCGCCGACAAGACGACGGAGCCCGAGCGCGACCCCCCGCCCAGCTACTACGACCGCTCCGTCGGCTACTACGTCTACCACAACCTGCTCTACCTGGCCCAGTGGGCGCCGCCCATCCTGCCGTGGGTCGAGTGGTTCGTCTTCGGCATGCAGTACGGCTTCGCCAACGGCTCCGCCACGGCCGCCGTCCAGCCGGGCCCCAAGGCGCTGCTGATGAACTGCCTCTACTCGCAGTTCGTCAACGAATGGGCCATCCCGCTGCACCGCGGCCCCGAGGCCCTGCGCCGCCTCGGCTCCTGGCTCAACCACCTGACGCCCGACGACCCCGGCTACGTCGCCCACGGGATCCCCTTCTCCGCCGCCGGCCTGTACGTCCACGCCCCCGTCGAGGTGCGCGTCAGCGACACGACCCTGACCCCGAGCCCGCGGCCCTTCCTCGACCCGACCGTCGACGACGGGCCGACCCTGTACCTCAATGCCACGCTGTACCGGCCCTACTTCCGCGACCCGCCGTGTCGCCGCCGCTACTACCAGGCCTTTGAGTGGCTCATGCGCGACATGGGCGGCCGCCCGCACTGGGCCAAGAACTTTGACGCGCGCCGGCCCGACATCGAGGCCATGTACGGCAAGCGCCTCGACGAGTTCCGCCGCGTGCGCCACCAGGCCGACCCGGACGGCATGTTTGTCGGGCCGTGGCACCGCCAGCGCATCATGGCGGCCGGTGTCGAGCTCGAGCTGGAAGAGGTCGAGACGGCTCGCCGGGATGCCCCTGGAGGCGGGCTCAGGACCTTTGGGCGCGTGTCATGACAAGAAAAAGTCTCAATTATAAAAAGCTGTACCGGGTAGAAATATGCACATCCACCAGCATTAACATTTACACGAAAACGCGCAGACACTCAAAACATCCCTCGCCTCGTGCTTCTGCCGCGGCCAAACTCCGCCGTCCCAGGCCAGGCTCCTTCGTCATCTCTCCCGACGGTCTTGCCGCGTCCGCAGCTGTGAGAATAAGGGGCCCAAATAAAAGAAAAAAGTCTGGACCTGAACGCATGGAAACAAGTGTGGCCCCGGATTTCGTGTCAGAAAAGCAAGTGCCTGTATCCCCATGCGCGAAACCCAAACGTGTCCCATCTATACCCGTCCACGCCTGCCATTATCCGAGAACGGGAGGCCCATCTCGTCGTCTGCATAGGCCAAAGAGTCGTGTGTACGTGGGCGGCCGATGCGATATCGGCACGACTTTTCATATGATTGGTTTGCTGGTGCCGAGACGAGAAAAGCCACCGGAAGTGACCCTGGACTCCGTTTCCAAAACACAAAAAGCGACGCGCCGCTTGATCCATTCTTCGAGCCGAGGAATCAGTCTGGCCCTGATCGGCGCGGTAGTGCTCGTGGGCGGCCTGTTTCCCTCCAAGAGCTCACGCAAAGACGCGCATGCTTCAAGCCATCAAGTAGCTGCCCAACATTAAGAAACGCCCAGAGCAAATTTTCCAGCGCAATATTATGTACGTGACGTACCCAAATCCTGGGAGGTGTGACTACATCGACGGCTCTGATCTCGGTGCCTGTCAATGATGCCTGGACATCCCTCCCAAGTCAATAGGAGCCTGACTCCTAGCCGCGGCTCATTTGACTCGCGCTCGTCCGGCTTCGCTCGTCCTCTTCTTCGATGACGTCGCTCAGTCTGGTCGGGTGGTGGTGCCGGGGAACAGTCTCCCAGCCGGGAGCTCCATAGCCCTGGCCGCTATAGTCCTGAGGATCCGAGTATGCGCCGGTCCAGCGCGACTCGCCGGCCGACGTCGACGGCGACTCGGGGCCGCCGCTGGGAGGCGGGTTGGTGGTGGCCGGCGTCTCGTAGTCGTCTGCTTCCGCATCAGAGCCTGCGTAGGTAGAGGCCGGCGCAGCAAAGGGTATCTTGTTTCCGTGCACATCCAGTATGAAGTTTCCCTGCGCGTCGACGATATACTCACCTTCGCTGTAGCCGCCCTCGGAGCCGCGACGTGGTCGGCCCGGCTGCTCCGGCTGGTGCTGCTGCCGTCGCTGGTAGCCGTCGCCGCCACGCGCCGCCGTCGAAGGGGGTGTTTGCTCGGGGGAAGCCTGCGTCTGTCCTGCCTGGTAGCCGTGTCCCGGTCCGTACTCTTGCTGGTGGCCTGCCGGATCCCGGGCAGTGCCATGTCGACTGACGCTGCCGCTGTGCGTCATGGGCACGACCTGGACACCGCCGACGATGGTTGGCTGTCCTGTCTGCAGGGAATACGTTCGGTCGCGTTCCTCCTGCTCTCGCCGGCCCAGCTCCTCCCAGGCTCGACGGGCCTCTTCCTTGGAGATGGAGAGCTCCTTGCGCATCTCGGCGAGCTGCTTCTGGACCTTGCTCGACCCTCGTTCCTGGTCGATGGCATCGCGGACGGCCTCGGCACGATCTCTCCTTTCTTTTTGCAGAGCGCCCTCCATCATGGCGTTGACCTCGCGAGCGCGCTCCAACTCGGCGCGAGTCTCAAAGAACCACCGCTGGAACTTGCGCTCTGAACTCGCCCGCAGGCGCTGCAGCTCCACCACGGCATGAAAGAGGTTGGCTCCTGCCGCCGACAAATCCGTCACTTGCCGGGCCAGCTGCTGGCTCAGGGGGTCGCGGTTGATGTCGTCCTTGTTCTGCTCGAGCTTGCGGATCCAATAGCTCGTCAGGCCCTCCCAGTGCGCAGATAGCGTTTCCCACCGTTCAAAGGCGTGCGGGAACGAGTTTCGCGGTTTGGACATGTCGGTGGGCTGCGGGGCTGCTGGGGTGGCCGGCTGGGCGCCAACATCGGGCCGCTGATGCGACTGTGGCTGGCGAGCCGCGCCAGAGGGCGGGTATGTCTGGTGATGTGCTCGTTGATCATCGGCGAGCTGTGATATTTGTGGCTGGGGCGGCTGCTTCCCTGCCGCGGCTGTTGGTATCTGGGGAGCGTCTGGGGGCATTCGACTCTGGTGGCGAGGGTCGATCTGCGGTTGCTGGGCGTCGGCGGCAACGCCTTGGCCTGCGGCAACGCCAGCGGATCGACGCTGAGAGTTTCTCCGTCGGGCTTCCTCGACGGGACGAGCCTCGCGCTCCGCCTTGTCCCGTTCCATGGCAAGCTTCTCTGCCTCTGCCCTCTGCCGCGCTTCCCTCGCTGCCCGTTCCTGCATGATCATCCTGGGACCCCTGATGCCGGACGGAGAGCCAGTGAGGGCGGGGCCTGCTGTGGGACGGCGGGGGGAGGTGACGCCAGTGCCATTGGAGGCAGCGGGGGCTGAGCTGGCGGCCGTCAGGTCGGCCATGCTGGCGGACTCCTCGACAAAATCGGGCGTAAAGGGATTTGGACGGCGCAGCGCCTCCTCGAGAGTGAAGAGAATTGCGCTGTGGATACTCCTCGAGACGCGAACAGCGGGATGAGGGTCGCGGCGATGTGCAAGAGCGGGCTGCTGGCTCGAAGGGAGTCGAGGGGGAGACTCGGGGTCAGGGCCAACGGTCGGGGAGTGCGAGGTGCTTGACGCGTGTCGACGCTCCTCAAACAGCGAGGCCTCGAGTCCAGTGAAGGAGGGCGAGGCCGGTTGCTCGAGCTCGGGGACGAAGCTGGGGGTGAAGCCGACCGAGGCGGCGGCGACGTGCACTCGACGGGGCTCTGGGGTAGTGGTGGCACGAGAGCGCCGTGCGCGACGAAGAGCTGAGCGGGCAGAGAAAGACGAGGGTTCGGGCGCTGGCGGCAACCGCTGGCGTCGCCAGTCTGGGGGCGGTTGTGGCTGGAACGAGAAGGAATCTCGGGCGCCGGGGGGAGTTGGTGGTGGTGGTGGTGAAGACAAGTTGAAGGTCGACCAGCACAGGCGGCTGGCGGCGGCGGTGACGGGGCGGCTGCGGAGGCACAAAGGGAGGAGGAGGGTTATGCCTTGCCAAGACCTCTGGGGGAAAGAGAGGAAGAAGGGGAGTCGAGCAGGATCATGGCCGAGGCGTCAAGTCAATCGCAGGTTCGAAAATGTGGTGGCAGGAAACTCGGCAGCGCGAGGGAAGAAAATGGGGGTGGCTGGAGGGACGAGTTGTCCAATTTCCTGGTGTCCCCCGTTGGAGACGGCCGCGGTTCCCTTGTCGCTTGAAAGCATCCCTTGCTCCCTTGAAGAAGCGATGTCCTTGTCGTCTCTTTTCCCGCCCTGATCTTCTTCTTTTTTCTCTCTTTCGTCCTGTCTCGTTAGCGCCGCTGCCCAACTCGGCGATGCTGTCCTTTTGCTCAGCACGCAGCCCACTGCACTTTCAGGCTTGCACTGCACTGCACTGCACTGCACTGCACCGTACTGCACTAACCCCGCTACAGCTTCGCTTCCCCCTTCCTCCCAACACCCCCAGCAGCTCAGCGGGCCGGCGCGAGATTTAGTGCCGCACGAGTCAGTCGAGACGAGGTTGGAGACCAAGGGGCAATGCCGCCTGTTTTCATCCCACATCTGGTCGTTTCGAACAAGGCGACAAAAAGGAAAAGGGGAGCAGAGCCGGCACCCGGTTTGCATGATCCCCTCATGTATTCCTAGCTGAGACAATTTGACTGGCCTGTGGATTGGGCCGTGTTTCCTTGGCTGCCTTGGCACAAGAGTTTGGGTTTTCAAGTTGAACAACGCGGTAAGCCCTAATCGGCCATCGTCACTCCAACAAGAGGGCGGGAAGGCGGGGGTCGATGCAAGATGCGTCAGTCACAAAATCCCTGTACACGTAGATGCGTCGTATTAGGTACAGGGTAAGAGACGGTCAAGGAGAGCTATCTTCTCAGCAAGCTCGAGACCATTCATCATGCCCATGTGTGACAGGGGGAATGAGAGGCGTCTCAATCCCGTGTCATACGTATCACTGGTGACATGCTCGTCATTGTGTCACATTTTTGGGCAGGGTCCAGCTTCGTTTCCAGACGGTTGGATTCTATAGGCTCCACGGCAATATAGGGCTTGCAGAGGAATGCACGATTCTATTTATACTTCAACTGTTCCACCTTTCCCCGTGTCTTCAACCATTTCGATTCTCATTCTCAGATCTAAACCAACCCTCTACACCGTGTCTAAGACTATCACCTCGGCCTCTGCCTCCCCGATACTCTCTACCCGTAATCCATCACCCGCGCTCACGCCCTCGACAAATGCCCCGTCGCCCTCGCCGAGCTCCGCCCCGTCGCGGCCGTCAAGCCGGATCCTGGCCCCGCCGCCCTTGGTCATGGGCAAATGCACGTAGACCTTTCGCTTGGCCTCTTCGGTGCCCGCGGCCCCAACGGTCCATTCAAAGGTGCTCTGGGGCGCGATGATGGCCGCGCCCATGGCAAAGTCGGCGTGGATGGGGATGGAGCCGGCCACGGTGGGCTCGGCGTCGCGTTCCTGCTGCGCGCTCGCGGCCGCGCCGCCCTTGAGCGGGCTCAGGATGGTGACGAAGCCCCTTTTCTTGGCTTTCTCGTCAAAGTGCTCGGTGTGATATCTTGGGGCTAGGCCCCTCTTCCACGGCATCGCCCAGATCTGAAGAAAGTGCACCGTGTCCGTCTTGTGCTCGTTCATCTCCGAGTGGCTGATGCCCGTGCCTCCCGTCGTGAACTGGACGTCGCCGCGGTGCATGCGGTAAAACTGGTCCGACTGGGCGCCCTCTTCGGCCCTGACAATCATCGAGTCCCGGTGTGTCAGCTCCCCGGACAGGATGTAGCTGAAGATTTCAAAGTCTTGGTGGCGGTGGGTAGGGAAGCCCGAGTTGGCCTTGACGCGGTCCTCGTTGAGCACCCTCAGCGAGCCAAAATGCGTGAAGCCCGGGTTGAACCAGTCGGCAAAGGAGAAACTGTGGTACGAGTTGAGCCAGCCGTGGTCCGAGTGGCCTCTGGCGCCGGACCGGTGCGGCGTGATGGTGGCCTGCCGGAGAGTGCTTTTGGCCATGTTCCTAAGCATCGGCTTCTCGGGGCTACGAGTGTTTCTGTTGCCGACTGACGACAAGATGCTGACGAGACGATTGCCGGTGCTTCGGATGATGTAGGTGTATTCGGGCGTGAAGAAAAGGATGATGGAAATGGAGACAACGACAACTGAGCAGAGGAGGGCGAGCCGAGCCATATATGCTTGGTGCGGGAAGTCGAGACGATTCTTGACTGGGCTTGAAGCTTCTCGCACTCTGAAGAATCCGTCAATCGACAGTCCCTCCTTTAATAAGGTGAGTTCTTTCAAGTCTAGACCTCACGTTGCGGTTCGAGTCTCGGTCACACGGGACGTGATAATTGCCTAATTCGGTTAGACAGGAGGTGCCTGAGAGGTTGAGACAAGGACGAGTCATGATTAGTAAGTACAATCCGCTGACTGTCTGTTACGAATCATTACCCAAGGCTGAGCTCATCAACAGTTCATGAGCCTATAACTCATCATTCAAAATACACAATGCAAGAGTCAAATGCTTCGTGAGCCACTCGAAGTTTGCTGTTTCACGAGCCGACTCACTGTGACACGGACGGCACCTGCCGTTTAATGATACCGCCTCCCGCTGCTGAAGAGCCTGTGATTCTCAGCCCCCCTTTGATGATGCACATGTTGTGGTTGGTCACGAACTTGTCCTCGATCTGGACGCGGGGCATTGACGCCATCTGGTGGGTCTTCTGGGCTAATTGGGAGTGTGGCTAATAACTACGAAGTAGCCCATCATGGCCTACAACAATTCAGGCATCGTCATTCGGGCCAAGGTTCGCAGAGACGGCAGTGCCCAGCCACTCAACCTTCTGTAATCCACCATCGCACCCCGGTCGGAGAAGCATTGGTGGCTTCAATTTCTCAGACCGCCGAGGTGCGTTTTGCACTCAGCATGGGCTCCCTGGTTGAGGCCGTGTATGTGCAGTGGATTCAGCTTGCCCAGGGAATCAATCGTTGCCCGGTGCCTATTGCTGTTGGTGCTTTTTATTTATTGGTTGCTTCTTCAACCAACTCTTCGCTGCCTCGGACTGGCCGAGCCCAGCCACCCGGGAAAGGCGGGGCTGACGGTCGGCAAAGTGCGGAGTACTTGCCCCGGAACTCGCTGCCTGGTGCCTGGTTGCCTGGCCGGGTGCCTGGTGCCTGGTACTTCAAAGTACCTTGTATCTCCTCTCCCGATGGAAGCTGCAGGCGCGCCCGACCAGCTGGCAACCAGCGCACACCTCCAAAATCTCCCTCCTCCATCGCCGTCGTCGTCAACTAGACACCAAACAAGAGACGCCACGCGTTGGGCCCACGCCCACTGCCCTTTGTCTTCGACCCTCGAGGGCTAGTTGGTCTTTCGGCCCTAGGTGGGGTCCTCTGCCGAGCGGTCGCCAACGGATCTCCCGCCGTGGGGCCGGGTGGCTGGGGTAGTAAGACATCGCGCCCAGCCATCTCCAAAGCTTGCTTTCTCGGACGATTCCTTCTCGCTATGACTCTCTCTGCATGAAGCTCCTTCCCGAATCGCCTCTTGCAGCACCAATTGGCCCACCGCCCCGTGTGGAGCGCCTTGGAATGCATCAAAAATGGACCTCCACGACTTCGACTTTGACCGACACGTCGAGGCCATCCGTATGTCAACATGACCACTCTCGTTCAAGACTTGTCGGTTGACGCTTACTTGCCAGGTCAATGGCCGCCGCAGAGACCGTCTTCTCCGTCCCTGGCTCATCAAGACGCGGCGGGAACAAGCACACGTCTGTTGCATGATTATGAGGCCAATTCGCGTCGCGATTCACGGCCCCGAGAATCAGCTCCATTTCATCAAAGCGCCGTTCCATTCGGGCCCCAAGTTTTATCAGAAGCTCGCTCAAGCCCTGAGGAGCTGTCCAATCCACACCAGCCGTTTTCGCCGCCTGCGCCTCTGCAAACGCCCTGGGACCGCCATGCTGGAAGCCTCGGCACAAATTTTGTAGAGCGATTCGACGAAGCCCAAATGGCCATGGCCGCGACAGCCAACGCAGCCCGACTGGGGCTCATCAAGGACGAGCTTGCCATCATCGCCGGGAAAATCACCCCCGGGGTCGACGACACCCCGTACATTCAGAATGCTTTGGAGGCCTTGACTCGTGAGCCAAGGAGCAGCTCCAGCGACGATTTGGCTCCGGGCACGTCGGAGAGACGGGTGCGCGACTACCAGGCGCTCGGTGCAGACCCCGATGAAGAGCTCGCGTCAGCAAATGTAGCACCCCCGGCACCTGCGTACAGTGGCAGACAGCACCTGCGGACAGGCACGAGAAGACAAGGCTCGGTTCCTCCCACCTCTAGACAAGACGCGGCGCCAAATGAGCCCGCTTCGCCTGCCGCAACGAAACTCCAGAGACCTCCGGATCAATGGATTGCCGTGGACAAGAATGCCTTGCAGACCATTGATCCCCGCGGAAGAACATACCCGCCCCTCACCTTCAAACCACGGATCTTGCGACCCCTTTCAATGGGATTAATGTTTATTCTATGCCTCTTGATGATGGCAGCCCTCATCTTCTCCAATAGATTTTCCGAACAACACGTCGGGTTGACGCCGTACCCCGGAAGCATATACTCTGGGCAATATTTCCTCTTCCGAATCTTGCCGCAACTCGTAGCGGCCGCCGTCCTCATCTATGCGCAAAACATCCTCACGGCGTCACTTCGAATACTACCCTTCACCACCATGGCCAAGGAGGACCCTCGGGAGCGATATCTGGCACTGCTTCAGAGCCTGTACCCCAAGTCGTTTCTGCGTCCACAATTGGTTGGGCCGTGGCAGATCATGGCTTTTGATCTGGCAACTTGGCTTGCGGCCTTGACCATCCCCCTGCAAAGCGCGGCCTTTACGTGCATATACGTCAAGGACCGGTGGATCTGGGCGCCGTCTCAAGGCGTGGCGTGGACCCTGGTCGCTCTCTATGCATTCCTGGCGGTGACGACTATCATTTTGATGGGTTTCTGGCTCAAGCAGTGGACAGGACTTCGGTGGGACGTACGATCAATCGCGGATCTCATTCCTCTCCTCAACCGGACGAACACGATGCACAGCTACACTCGCCAAGCTGTGCTCGGACCCGTCGGCGACTTTAAGACGGAGCTGCGGGACCGCTGGTTCGACCGGTTGGGATACTGGCAGGCAGAAGACATGTTGTCAGGCGGCATCTGGCACACAATCGGTACTTCAGCAATGCCAGCACATCGCGGGGCAGAGGCCACGGGCGCGGACCAGGCCAAGAGGGGGAGCTATGAATTCTCCATCGGGTCCCGGGACATGGCCGACTTCAGCGCTACTGGCAAAGCTTACCTGCCCTGGTGTCTGCGCGATGCGCCACTGATTGCGTTCATCATCGCAACTGGCGCGCTGCTCGTTGCGCTGCTCATCGTATCCTTTTTGCCCCAGACTCGACTGGATGCCGGCTTCGTCCCGAGGCTCGAGGCTCGGCCCAATCAAGCGGCCTTTTCCCCCGCCGACTTCCTGTACAGCTTCCTCCCCGCTTTGTTAGGGATGGTGCTGTTTTTGCTATTCCAGAGCCTGGACCAGTCACTGCGCATTTTGCAACCGTGGGGGGAACTGGTCAAGGCGGACGGCGCGACGGCTCGAAGATCGATCCTGGCCGACTACGCGGCATGCCTACCGTTTCAGTCGACCTGGAGGGCCCTCGGAAATGGGCACTGGAGAGTGGCAGTCACATCGCTCATGGCAGTGCTCTTTGTTTTCATACCGGTCCTAGCCGGCGGCTTGTTCATGGCCTTGACCACGACAGAGGAACAGGTTCGGATGTTCCCGAGCATGCCAGTGTTTGGCGCCCTTCTCGCATTCCTGTTGCTTTATGTGGGAAACCTCGTTTTATTGGTGCCCCGCCGCCGGCAATTCCTGCTGCCCCATCCAGTCAGCTCTGTCGCCACCATCATCAGTCTTTGCTCGGCCGACGACCTCGTCCGAGACGCCGCTTTCCGCGCCGTCTGCTCCCATCGCGATCTTGTCCTGCGGCTGGGCGCGAGCCGGGACGACCCGCGCGAGGAAAGCGTCTGGTTCCTGGGCCTGTCGCCGGGCAGGGACGAACACCAGCTCAGCATCCGGCGGCTGAAGCGGTATACGGAGAAGGGCAGGAGGATGTGAGCCTGCCCTGCTTGGTGACACGAGGGGAGGCGACCAAATTCCTCATGCACATACAGTACGGTGCATGGCATTGGCGTCGAGAGTGCCTTTTCTTCTTCTCTTTACCCCTTTTCCGGAAAATTTGTCAAGGTTCATTTACAGATTTGTTTGTTTTTCTCTGGGAGAGCTTTTCCCCCCCATTGCTGTCGGGCTTGACATGGTTGACGAAGAAACGACTGGAATGTGCCGCCGGGGCCCAATGAGGCATATTACGAAGTACGCGCAGAGATGTACAAACAAACATACGTACAGACAGGACACAGAGCACAGCATGTAAAGTAGATAGACGCACGGACGACGAGGGGTGCCAGACGCGAGGGCGAGCAGCAACCTAGAGGAGAGATACCTGCTATAGGAAGAACCTAGCTCTCTATTGGCGGAGAACGGAGTACATACACATGCACCACAGCTTGTACTACCAATGTTAAGAGGAATTCGAGCCACACCTTGTTTGCGGAGATCAAAGTTTGTTCTTCAATTTTTTTATTCATTCTCTTCATTGTAACAGAAATATGAAAAGGTTGTGTGTCATGGTCGTCAAACTACATTTCAGTAGATAAAAAGCGTCAAGGAGTGTGCGCGTTGGCGGGAGCTTGGGCTCGCACCGCCGGGGTCCCGACCGACGCCGCCCTGTGGGGTCTCGCCTGCGGCGTGTCGGGGGGGTCGTCGTCGTGATAATTCATGATTGTTTTTCCAAGCCAAGCGAGCAAAGAGATGAAAACGCCGGCCGAAGAGCGAAAAACCCAAAACAAACACACGGAAAGGGGGCAGCAGGAAGCAAACTCCTTGCATATGCGCTCGGCTGCCGCGGGCCTTGCTTCTGTCCAAAAATAACAGCCGATTCCGCAGCGCCGCACTGCTCGCTAAAGAGGAGACGTGAGAGGGAAAAAGGAAAAAGGTGTGTTTCCACTTGAGGGAAATGAGAAACAGAGAGTGTGTGAGACGTGCTTGCGCAAGCTTGGTAGGGCGATGCATGCACCGCAGAGTTCCAGATGGAGAGTGACAAGGCAAGATGCCACACAGGCCAGGTTGCCTGAGCGATGACGCCGAAGCGGGCAGGTGTTTACCTGCTACGCCGTCCGAGCATGCGGCCAAACACGTCGTGCCCCTGACGCTTGCGCCTGGGTGGCGGCTCCTGCTTGCCAAGACGGCTCGGAGGCTGCCCCTGGGGCTCGGGGACAGACGGTGCGGTCTGGGGGCGCGGGCGACGGCGGGCTTGGGAGGGAAGAGCCTCTGGTGCCGGAGCCTTGGTCGACCTGCGGCTGTCACTGTCGTTGCGTCGGTGGAAGCGGAAAAAGGAGCGGCCGTGCTCGCTGTCGCTGTCGGAGTCGTACTCGAACACGGAGTGGGGCTCCGGCTCGGGCACCGGACGGGCAAGGTGGGCGATGGACTTGCAGTGGCGTGGCGCGCGGGCAGGCCTGGGGTGCTGGTAGGCCTGCTCGAGGGCGATGTTGGTGGAAGCGCTCGAGGCGGCGGAGGAGGAGTAGGCATGGCCGGCAGCGGTGCGCGGCCTGGCGAATGGTTCATCGAGGAATCCAGAGTCCCGCTGGGCGACGGGCGACGGTGGGTACCAGTTCATGGTGGGAGAGGGGGGCGGAAGGTTCATGGTGGGCGAAGCAGGCGGGAATCGGTAGGTCATCATGGCATGTTCGTAGGCCGTGGCTGGCGCCATGGCGGGTTGCCGCGCACAAGGGGTGACGACGCGGATACAAGGGGTAATGAGTTCGCCCGGGGGTCGAGGAGGACGCGAGGGCTTTGGGCTGGACGCTCGACGGGGTGCCGGGGCCGGGGCGGGTGAAGTAGTTCCCTGGGGGCGGCTTGTTGGGCGGCTTGTTGGTGGCTTGGGAAAGGCGGAGTAGGTGGGCGAGGACCTGATCTTCGGAGACGGCGTGTAAGTTGCGGCCGGCTTCCGGGATCGGTCGCGGGGAGAGCCGTCGGGTAGCGGCCAGGCGGCGGGGCCTTCGGTGGCGTCTGGGTGGCGGCGTCTGCGGTTTGCGCGAGGAGAGGGAACCAGGGCGGGATACTGCTTCTTGGGGTGCATGTTGGGCTCGTGGTCCATCATCTTGGCGGGCTGCCAAAAGCTGTCCCACAGCTCGGTGGTGTGGGCGTGATACTGGTAGTCGTCGTCGACGGAAACCTCGGAGTCGGTGCGGTCGTCGATCAAGCCCGGGGCAGAAGAAGCCTGGGATCCCAGGGACGACCTATCCGAGTAGCAGCCGGTGGACGAGGAGGAGACGGCGCTGCTTGGAGCCGAAGTATCATTTCGCGGGTACGAGTAGTTGGCGACGGGGTGGTACTTGGAGACGAGGGTGAGATCTGCCAGCTTGCTGGAGAGCTCCATGTCGAAGGTCAAGGCAGAAACATGGGGGCGGGCGGGAAGATGAAGTCGAAGCAGGAGCAGAGACGGGCTCGGGTGAATCAAACGACGAGGTCGGATCGTCAGAGAGGAGGAAAAGCAAGGTGGCGGGGGGCATTAGAAGTGAGGAGCAATGATATACAAAGTGTGAGTCTCCATCAAAACAGCATCTGGCGCATACCTGGGCGGGCGTGAGACACGAGGCGTGGGTCGTCGACACCCACCAGCGTCCCGGGCGCCCTTCATTCCATTGCCGAGGGTCCAGCTGGGCCGCCGAGCATTCTGGGCAGAGGCTCGCGTCTGGTATGCGACGGCCCCGGAGCACGGCATCGGCAACATGTCTTTTCTCGCCGGCTCTGGTTGGTGTTGCTGCGTTTGCCACCTGGCTGAATCACCACCGTGTCGTACAAGACGGGCGGAGGCCAGGATGGAGGAGGCAATGACGACGCCATCTAGAACGGGTGCCGGGGCAGGTGACGCCGTCGCAGGATTTCGGCAACGCTTGGTTGGGAAGAAGCAAATAGTTCGAGGCAAAGGGAGTGAGTCGATTGAGGAGGGTCCGCGCAGGAGCGCAGGAGGAGACGCAGCAGGGGACTGGCCACGAGGTCGAAGCTTGGCTGCAAGGAGAGTAGAGGGGCTATTGGACAAAGGGGGCCCGAGCCTCCACGGCACTGTGAGCCCCGAAAGGGAGCGCATAATTAATTACAGTACAGCCCTGGAGGGACGGGGAGTTACAGTGGTCTGTCTTGATCAGTGGTCTTGATCAGTGGTCTTGATCAGCCACGAGCCCCCTAATCACGGGCGTCGAGATGCCCTAAACGAGGGCTCATGGCCAGCACTGTCCACTGTATCTGGCGGATATATTGGACCCATTTCTCCCTCGTCGATGCCCGTCTTTTCCCGCCCTTCCCACGCAGTCGGTCCCGTCTTGCGCACCCTTTTCATTACTCCTTACTCACGTCCCGAAGCCTGGAGTCATCCAGCTGATTATGGGAGTGAAGGGAAAAAGCAACAAGAGGAAGCGAAAAGGCAGCCGAAGCCTGCCCCGGCTGGTATGGTGCGTCTGGTTGCTTGGGCACGTCGAGGTATGAGACGCTGCTCTACGCAGCCCGCGCCCGACAAACGGCCGACCATGGCTGCTTTGGACTCTGCGGCTCTGCAACAGCGGTGTCTGCCCCGGTTGCCTCTTCTACGGCCCGTGTTTACATGCGAAAAGCCATGTTGCTCAGGCATGCTGCACCATGACAACTGGCGAACCTCGCTTGTTGCAGTGAGAGCTGCTGGACTACGTACTGCATTTTCCAAGCCGAGCTTTTTGTCGGTGTCTACGCGCGAGACTCGGATGATGAAAGCCCTTCCTTGGCTGGTGTTCACGGTGAGAGCTGATGTGAGTTGCCCACTTACACACACAGTACTGCTCACTTGGCACTCACTCGACACCACAAGTACCTACTGTGAACACACAACGCATGCTCCGTGCAGGCATCATGCTTCATCTACGATCGGACCCTGCCTTGGAGCCATGCGGGGGGGCTGAGGATGAGACAGGCTTAAGCCAGGCCAGCGAAATGACGCCGACGCCCCCCAAGTCTATCGGATCGGCCGGGCGCAGCTACTGGCCCGAAGCGGACGCATGTTGGAGGCAAATGCGGGGAGCAGAAGAAAATCCCCGGCGGGTGTGCCGATGGACGCTGCTTGTTTACTCCAGCACCCATCAAAGGCGGCAATTAGAAGACATGGGGTTTTCTTTCAGAAACATGCATGGTCAACATGCTGTTTTCTCCTCCCCCCCCCCCATCTCCCCCCACACATGCACCCCCCGATGAGCTGATGTTGTTCTCTTCCACTCGTGCGCCACATGCCTGTCTCGTCCGGTGGTGCTCACACGGCACAGCCTTTGAGGCTGTGTGGTTGAACCAGTCGTCGCACTCTGACTCGTTCCCTCTCTCGCCATGGGCTCACTATGGGCTCACTATGGGCTCACTATGGGCTCCCGCCTCGGCAGTCCCGCTGTCCCGGAGCGCCGGGGCTCATCGCTCGGGGGGAGGGGGGCAAAGACAGAATCTTCTTCGCTCCGGCAACGGAATGAGACTGTGTCGGCTCGAGGGCGAGACGCTGTCCTGCGGCCAAGCATACACGCACATGTCTAGCCAAAAGGCGTGGTAAAACGCCCGGCAACCTCTCAGCTCCGGGCCGGGACTGCCTCGGGCACAAATGCCCAAGACACGAGGGGACAAGAACCCGCCAATATCGCCCGCCCACAGTGCTATATGTGCGCGAGCGTGTAGAGACGCCCTCGATACAGCTGCTCCGCACGCGACGCGCCGCCAGTCGTCTGATCTGGCATGCTGGAACATCGCGAGTGGTATATGTATTAGGCTTTCGGGCTGCGCTGCAACGCCACGCGACCAAGACCCGCTCTCGACCTCGAACTCGAAGCGCGTAGGAATAGAGTTGGAGCCTGTGTGTAAGTTGCTTTGGCACGCTGTGGGGACCGCAGTCGCGTCCTGGGCGGGTAGAGCCTCTATTTACGAGACAAGGGGGCCCTGGAGATTCAAAGTTTATGTGCTGGTGAACCTTTTACCCGAGATACTCCGTAGAGAGCCAGGGAAGCAACTATAAGAGCATCTTAACGGAGACAGCACTTCTTAAGACGCCAATTAGTCAGGGCGTATGAAAACAATCTGTCGTCTTTCTCCTACCTCTTTACCTTGGCACGTCACTTACTGTACATTCAACCCATCGAAATACCAATTCATGCGTGCAGTCATGTTGCATGGGACTGCCAGGTCCGGGGTCGATTCTCAGGGCCCCCACAGGTATACTGCCGGTGAAGATTCGGGCGAGCGGTGTCTTCTGCCGAGTAGAGTGTTCCGTTCCACAAGTTGCAGGCTCTCCTGTATACCTTGATTTTGACCCATGATCCTCGGGGTTGGGGCTGGGAATTGCCATCAACCGTAAAGGCCCTCGCCCCGCTGGCACGGCCGATAGTTTCCGCATACCTGGTGCCATCTTCACCCTGAAGGACTTACTGGCGGGTGATGGTCCTCACAGCTGCGATGCCAGCCATACGAAAGACCCTCTTGCTTGGGTCTGGCTGAAGGGCTGCCTCATCCAGTTCCCAATGACAGACGGCAACTGTTGTTCGTGCTATGATTAGCGTCGAAGGAGGCTCAATGTGATGAAAGCATCCGCTTCCCGCAATTCGTAGCCCAAGCATCGTTTCAATGGTTGTTGTGTGTCCAGCTTCCAGGGCCGCTAGACTAGACAACGGTTGAGCCCAGGTGAGACACTCAACGGGAAACCAGTTCTACATGAAAGAACGCGGTGCTCTTTGCGGAGTCGTCAATACTTCCACTGACATCTCCTGGTCGAGTGCAATCTGGGCAGCCTTATACCCACGCACCAAACTCCTAAGGACATACCGAGCAGCGTGGCCAACGACGAAGCCGCTTCATCGTCGCCCGTTTCAGTATTCGGCTTCCATCCGGAACCCAACGGTGGGGAACAGCCGCAATACTTTTACCTTGACTCGCAGTCCCAGTCCCCAACGCGTGGACTTTGTTTCACAAAAATCAATATACCTCCAAACGAGGAAAGTCGCCTTTCGTTTTGAATGCCCGGCCCAAACCCGTCAACACTGTTTTGTTCGAGCCTCTGGTCGGGCTGCGAGCCCTTCCGCTCTCTGTGTATCGAACCGTTACTTGGTCGAAACATTTCCCGCATGTTTAATACATGATTTGCTCCGGGTAACTATAGAGGCCCATTCCTAGTCTCCCGTCGGCTACAGCCATCATGCCGGCTGACTTGCATGAGACTGTGAATAATTATTGTGATTGGCCACCCTCGCACGTCCGAGGGAGGAGCCTCTTTCACCCCTCCCTCTTCCCCTCACGCAAACCCTTCTCATGAGCATCTCGGGTGTCAGACAGTCAGAGCAAAGGCTTCCAGCACCCTTCCTGTTGCTTAGCTTCCTGAGCCTGGCCTGTGCCCAAGCATCGATAAGGGTGAGGGAGCGCCCCTTCTAGCAAATCAACGTCCAAAGCCTCCCCTGCCGGAATGCGGTATTTGTTTAGCAAAAGCTGCCATCTCCAGATGCCAGACACATCTGCTGGATGCTTCGCAAAATCGGTATAATTGGTATTCACACCCACGATGCGGCAACAGTGAGAGACGCCGAGCAAAAAACTCCAGATTAGACAGCTCATTGCCCTTGTGTAGTGTATGCATTATGGAAAGCTTCAACTGGGACTATTCGGTCTGACGAGAGCTGGACCTGCTCCGTCTACCTCGGAAGCTTAATCGCTACAACCTCACGCTTTCAGTCATCAAGGATCTTTGCGCAACCGGCGCGTTGGTTGCCTCGCCAGTAGGGCAAGATGCCCTGTCTTCAACGCGGACGAAGCGGTAGACTTTGAATAATATAGGTTCTGAACAGAGAGTACGACAACCCCTCTACTGGTTCACCAATGAAAACCTTGTTACGACTTTGACGCCCTCTGAATGACCGAGTTTGGAAATCCTCCCGGCCTTGAGTGGTAGTTGCCCACCTCCTTGGGTCAGTCCAGACGCTTGACCGGGCCAACTGAAGGTCGTATCCAACCAGATGGCAGTCGCATATCGTAATGTCGTCTCACGTAAGATAACTAGCGGTTTGGGGCACACCAACGCATGATCATTTTCTACGAGGGCTTTTGACCCTGCCGTAGTTATGCGTGGGGTTTGCGAGCAGGCCAACAGCATGAAGGCGAACATCAAACAGGAAGGAGCAGCAACAGACCGTAAGCACTACCACCTACTGGACCATCTCGCATCCTCTTCCCTTTTCATGTTGCTCAGTCTCTTGAATATTTGCCCGAGGTCCGTGGATATAACAAGGAGCGGCGCCTTGGCCTTTGTTTCTGAACGGCAACCACTTGAACGCAAACATGCCCGGGGCTACGGCAACAGAAGCACGATTCGAGGCGGGGAATAAGAAACGGCCTGTTGACGTGGTAGACTCCATCATCTGTTTCCGCAACAAAGATCATCAGTTCTGGTGGGATCGAACCGGAAGCCACCTTGCCCAGTTGTTGAAGTATGCCGGATATGAGAAATCAGAACAGTACCAGGAACTGCTCTTCTATGCTCTACACGTGGTCCCGGAGCTTGGCCCATCGCCGGATGCAGGTGGCCAAATGAGATGGCGCAGTCCCCAGACCCCAGACGGAACCCCCATTGACTTCAGCTGGGAATGGGGTCTCCAAGGCAAAGGGGTCGTGAGAACCTCCTTTGAGCCGATTGGGCCACTGGCGGGAACGAGCGCCGACGCATCGAACCGCCAGGCGACGAAGGCTTGGATACGTCACTTGGACAGCCAAGGACTTGTCGCTGGTCTTGACTTGGAGTGGTATTACCATTTCGTCGAGAACCTGCTGCCGACCGACATTGAGCGCGTGCGGCTAAACGAGAAACTCGGGTTTGAGCTGGCACCGAGAGCAGGGACCTTTGTGACGCGCGACATTGGCAGGTCTGGGCCCATCGTCAAACTATACATATTCCCTGGACTGAGGGCGGAGGAACTGGGCGTCTCCAATCTCGACGTCGTGACTCGGGCAGTGAAGAGTCTTCCAGCGGAGCAGTATGAGTATCTTGGATGCGAGCCGCTTCTGGACTACCTCCACGAGGCCGCCGTCAAATGGAACATGGAGACTGGCATTTTCTCCTTCGACCTCTTGTCGCCCAAGACCTCGAGGATCAAGCTCTACACACGGGCCCCTAACACAACCGTGGACTACCTCATGGACGCCCTCACGCTTGGGGGTAGATACAACCGCTCGGTGTATAGCGAAGAAGCATTGGCCGACGTACAGGACTTTTGGAACATCTTCATCGGCGATGCCCCCGATGTCCTGCCTTCGGGCGGAGCTGAGCGCGCGGGGCCAGGCTTTTACTTCACAGTTGGAGGCGGCAAGCTGGCGTCACCAAAGGTTTACATTTCCCCAATGTCCTTCTGCAAGAACGATGGAGAGGTGCTAGAACGTCTGCGTTACTTTTTTTCAACGCGACGTAACGCCGAGCAGATGCTTCCTCAAATGGACAACTATGAGGCGGCGTTGGAGAGCATCTAGTGAGCGAGCGTCGGTTTCTGATGAACCACAGATGGCAGCTGACAAGCATAATCCTGATATAGTGGCACTAAGCTTCTCCAGAGCCACGTCGGCAGTCACTTTTATGTGAGCTGCGCGCTGCAGAAAGATGAGCTGCGGGTTGTAACATACTTGTGCCCCCAGACCTTGGATCAGGAGAGAGAGGCTCGCAAGGCACAGGCTGACAGAAATGAAAGGGACCGCCTGTTGTGGCAAATAATGGAGAAGACCAAAGATGACATGTATTGATCAGAGGTTTCCAAGTGAAGTTGCTACTTGGAGGATCCCTTACATTTTACCAAAGAAATGAATTCTTGTGCTTCCGGGAAGACCCAAATAACTGCCTTCATTCTATCATCCTACGGAGCACTTGACGCTTAAATAGTAATCCAAAAGAAAGAGGAAAGCCTTTCTGCTTGACCTGCAAAGTGCGACACCGACAACTGTCCTGCTACCGAGCCCAGTCGGAGATTGCCTCAGTTGGCCAACGTTTCTAACTTCCACACGTGCAGTCCCACCTTAGGCACGGCGGTCACGCACGCAGCGAGCAGAGCGAACACGGGGGAAGCGGATGTTTTTGTTGCTCTTTTCATATCTGGTGGGAGCGCCCCTGCAGTTCTCTTGGCTGCCGGATCATAGTTAGTTTTACCTCCTTTGCAGTCCGGTGTCTCGGTGATGGGAAGAGACTTACTAGTAGAGATAGCAGTCGCTGCGGCGTTCCACACGGATAGAGTGGACATTGTCGCGGCTAAATTATTTGTCAGTATGAATCGAAGGCAACAGAACTTCGGGATAGGAGTCAAAGTCTTACAGAGGGCCCTTCAGATTGGTGCATCGTCCATTATCAACCCGGCGGGAGGCGCCGCGGAAATCGCGTTGCTTGTAGAGTGTAGCCTGCATCACAGTCATTTAGTCAAAGCCCAGGACTCATCAGATTCAGCCAACTTGGCTGTACTCACCGCGTTATTGTCGCGAGCTTCGTGCTGAACCTCGGCGGATTCCGCAGCCACAAGGGTGGCAAGGGCGAGGGCGAAGATCTTGGTGACGAGCATTATGATGGCGAAGCTAGTGGGGGTTTTGTTGTAAAGAGTGAGTGAACAAGGAGTTGAGTTGGAGGTTGTGATGGCTAAGATGATGGATGACCAGACCTTTGTCGAGGATGAGCAGCCGCATTATATAGATGAGTCCAGTGGCAGGCTGAGAATACGGAGATGCTGATCTGCCCACTGTACTGGTCGCAGACACTCCAATAGAAGAAGACGTGTGGGTGCAAACGGCAAATCTACAGGGAGTCTGAATGAGCTGAGCAATAGTTCCAGGCAAGCCCTGCCACCGCTGCCCAGGGCTGAGAGTTTTGCGTCAAGTGCAAATCTCGAGAAACGATCCGCGTCCTCGCCAAGATTGCGTTGTATCGCTACGAATGCCCCCTACCACGCTTACGACTTGAGCCCAAGTCCAGAGCAACCATCAAGCCGTCGAGCCTAGGGCAAGGAAAGGCCTGCTGGAAGAAGAAATTATGAGGCGTTGCCTTGTATACGCAGGGGGGTCGGTAGACAGGCTTACAGGGTGGATAAACCTTAATTCGCGCAGAACCCTGGGATAGATTCTGCTTGTCGGTCAGTTTGTTCCTTGAGTAGCACTTCGGTGAAAATGTCTCGTGATACTTCACCTCCCGTTCTGTGTCGAAATACGCATTGATGTAAACCCGTGGAACAAGTCATGAACTGGGAAACCCCAAGTCTTAACTCAGTTGCGGGTCTTTCCGGACTCTCATCTTCCACTCATCAAGCTTGCCGAACTGTCGATTACACTGTAGGCGAGCTGTCGTGAGGAAACCATGTCAGAATGCCAAGCTGCGAGGATACGGCGTGAGCACTAAATTAGACTCAAAACGTGAATCGTTCATGCCGCCAATCACGATTACTTTTCCTTGCTTCTTTCCAGCTATTACTTCTCTCTGGTCCAGTGAGAATCTTGCGCTGGGTTGCAGGGCATGTTGACGTGCGCCGACAACGTGCGTTCAGGGCGCGTCTATTATTAGCTCGCCACGACTATTCCTTTGATCCAAATATAGAAGAGCAAGAAGAAAAAAGCAAAGGCAACTCGGGTCGGTCGAGATCTTCTCGAGCTGGTCCGATCGTCTACTGAAACTGTACCCGCATCCGCTGCCACTGACTAGCACCTTGGCCATCAGTAAGCAATGCAAGTTTATAGTGATGGGTTGATATTACTATAACTGTTAGAGGACACTACGCATAATGGTAATTGAGCACCTGTACGATGAGGTTCCAGACGTCAACACTACGAAAAGACACTCGCTCAGGAGAGATATGTCGCGCATCATAGTGACTCGGTAAGTCTCTGAAAAAATGAATCCTCTCTTCGTCCTATAATTGAAAGAGAGGAGCCCGCTAATGGTCGGCCGAGATCAAATTCCAGTAGAGAACTCCATGTCGCAATCAAAGCTTTCTCAAATCAGACATCTAGTCATTGATTTTCTGCTCACTTTGTAGCTCGCCGCTTGGGAGCAGGCGTCTTGAGATGCTTCGGTCAATCCTGCCAACGGAAACACCCCCCGTGTTAGAGACTGCAACACCATCAGGAGAGCTGCCGCCATCAACCCGAACAGGGCCGCCTTGCTCGAAACGTTCTCGCTGACGCCATCAGGAACGACGGCTCGGGTTAGCGGCAGCCAGGCCAGCAAGAAGAGTGAGGAGGGTGATTGAGGCGCTCAATTTGTGTAGTGGACAATTTCAAGAAGGCAATGTAAACTGTTGGTATTGGCTGTGAAAGTAAATCAAGGTGATGAGAATAAGGTAGCATTCATCCTCTCGAGGTCGGGGTTATTATAACATTCTCAAAGCTACCTGAAAGCCTGCCAACGAGTCAACATGGTATCGAGAGGATTCCAACGAAGCGGTAAATCGGCAATCAAACTGTTCCACTGCACCGTACCGGAGTTCATTCGAGCTTAGTGATGCTACTGTTGTTGATACAAAACCGCGCGGCGCCCTCAGCCGCACATGGAAATAAACTTGACACAGCTAGCGGACACCAGGGTTGGGGTGAGTTCTCATAGTCGGGAGACAACACACGGCGACTGAACCCTTGTGCTGCATAACATGACTCACTCTCAGACCGGCACAGGGAAGGCGAGACTGACTTCAGCCAGCTCGTGTAGTAGTTTCAAAACTTGAAGAGACCAAAGTCAGAATACAGGTTAAGTCTAGAAAGCGCTGTTCAGCCCACCGGATCGAGAGCGAGGTGCCGCCGCCTTAGGTGGGCTCGACAGCGAGGGCCAACGGCGGCTCAGAGGTACAGTGTACCTGGACGACAGAAACAGCGGGAAGCAAAAGGTAGGCGCAGCCGACCCACAGCGCCAGGCGCGCACCAGGGCAGATGACCAGGCCCTTCCACTCTCCGACTTACCCGTTGATCTTGGTGTGGGGCCACAGCAGCCCAACTAAGTGTCTTCGCCACTTAGTTGGCCCAAAAAATCCGGCACAGCCCAAAAAATCCGGCACAGCAGGGTCCTCAATTTGGGGTGCAAAATCAAGGGAAATTCTACGCTTCGCTTCATGGTGCCGTCAATGCGACTTCAAATAGCTAAAATATACATGTGATCAATAGCTGCGGATCACCTAAAGACGCAAGTAACAACGAAAAGTGAAAAATCACGTCTTTGGGCCTATTTAGGAGCTGCCGCCTTCCAGTCGAAGAGATAGGAAGACCGCGTTTGTGAGTCCAAATAGACGTATTATGTAGTAATTTCGCCTGTTGTGCGTCTCTGAGAGCTATTTTATCCATACCTGTGTTCCTGGAGCGTCTGCTGTATCTTGTTGGACGATCGGGTGCGCGGTCGAGGGCATGGTGTATCGACTACCGCTTCAACCGCTGCTAACGGCGGCGATGAGGAATATTCTCTTGCGTGTCGAGTAAATTGTCCTCGTCTTCATCGTCGGCGCCATCCTCACTATGTTTGTCAAGATCGAGGCCTGTGAAATAGACGGTATCGTCACTGCCGGGCAACGACGACATATCTGTAAGTGGGCGAGGTCGGGTCGCTGCGCGCGCCCTGACATCTCTGGCGGAGTTATTTCTCTTCGTGGTATCATAGAAAAGGATTCCTTGGATGGCTCTTTGAGCTCCCGCATGAGGGTATCGCAACTTTGCTCCAGAGTGTAGAACTCAACGTCTCGTCCGGACTCTAGCCAGGGCTTAAAGTTCAATGTCTTGACTCTGCCATTGACTAACTGCTTCTTCCCGACTTTATAGTCTTCTCGGATCTTCTGCATCTCTCCACGAACTCGTTTAAGATGCATCCTTATCTCCTGGCGCGTTTGAAGCCGGGTTTGCTTTGCCTGGAGCTCCTCATACTCCCGGGTGATGTCGGCCATGCTGGAGCTCGTGATAAACTCTCCGCGCGGCCTGACAATCTTGCCTCTCTTCATTCGATTCGCATACGCCTGGGTTCGGCTATTCTTATCGCTGACTATGCCCTGGGAATGTGACGCCATCGCGATAGACTCGGTGTTCACTTTCGCAAGAACCCGCAAGTTTTCTCGTGATGGCGAGCTCATGAGGGCCCATACCGTTGCCGGATATCATTGAGGGCATCCGCGGCGACTTGGAAACGCGTCTCCGAGGGTAGGAGCGAGGCGTATGCAGGATTGATCGGCTGCTGTTGTCGTAGCTGCTCGTGGAGGATCTTGGTGATCACCGGCGCTGGGTCGACAGGAAAGAGGCCTGTTTTTCAAATGCCGCCATAATGTTATGCCGCGTGAAGCCAGCCTCATATACGTCCTGAAAAGCTGTGAGGAAGTTGACCCGCGAAAATGATATGTTGCCTTCTGCGAGCGACTTCCGAAGCGCTTTCTGATGTGCTGACTTTAGTGGCTGGAATACCCCAACATCAAGCGGCTGCATGAGGTGGGTGGAATGTGGAGGAAAATAGCAATGATGATATCAAACTTGATACAATACTCAGCAAAGTCAAGGGTGGTATGCCCTGTAAAGCCATCCACAACAAGCAATCGGTAGATCTTCTCGTCGTCAGGCCGTTGGTTTGGCGGCGCCTCCACGCGACTCATCCCCATGTTGGGGCGCCGAAGATGCTCGTCACAGCCGAACCACTCTTCCAGCGAATTTCCTGACTGTTTTGCTTGCGCTGACGATGCCCAAGACCAGCAGTTGAAATGCCTTGCCCACTCAAGGTGTATCTCTGCGTTGGAAAAGCCAGTTGGCGACTGGGCAAACCGTACGCCTGTCATGATGTCGATGCCGGCCCAGTTGGTGGTAGGGTAATGTTGGAAAACAAGCCAGGGTGGAAGAGAGTCCCCCACTGCGTTAACTGAGGCAATTACCGTGCAGGATTCTCGGTTTGCTGGGTCTAAAACTCGGGGCCGGGTGCTCTTGACTCTAGTGGTGCGCGTGATGAGAACTTGGATGCGTTCTCGCAGGCACCCAATGCGTATTCCGGCCTCGTCTTCATTCCAGATCTCTGAACTGCCAATACGGTAGCTGGTGATGATTTCTCGAAGCTTTGAGTAGAAAAATTCGACTTCTTCTACCCGTGGGCTTCAAAGGACTTCCGGGCTCGTTCAACTGCTTTGAGATACGTCTTCGCGATCGCAGGATGACTTCCACGCCAATTGTCAAGCCAACTTGACGAGACCGGGCGGGCATTGGGATCTCGACGCATTCTTATTGCATTTGCAACAGCTTCAAGTTGCTCTCTCGTGGCGGGCATGCCGGTGCGTTCCATCCACTGTACATACGCAACCAGGGCGTCGTCTTCGTCCTCCGTCAGCGCCAATGGACGCCCTGGAGCACGGGAAAAGGGTTTCTTATGAAATTAATGGCTCTCTGTACGGATGAGCTCTTCACATTGTAACGGATGGCCGCATCTCGCACGGAAAGAGGCGTTCTTTTGGTGTTGTTGAGCGACGAACATCGGCTCTGGGGTCGCGACGAGACGCCAGAACGGCTTTTGCTGCCTCCAGGGTAGCCATGTTATCTGTCATAATGTATTCCGGCAAAAAGATACGTAAAT